ATCTGTTATTTCATTTTTTGTGATATCTATACCGCCACAGTGTATACATTAACAAATAAGATAAACATAGTTTCATGTACACGGTGTACACTTACTTAAGTCCTTTAGCCATATTCTTTGGTTAAAGTACTCCTCAGGTGGTAGGTAGGTAGTAGTTAGTATGTTGCGTTTTAAATTTAGCCTATCTTAGGTTTATTTTAAACGTCACTTGTTCCAGAAAGTAAAATGATTAGCACAAAACTTGTAATTAAATATTCAGGGGATAGTAGGTTTGTATGTTTACTAAAAGAAATTGGGACACCTTGTACCTTAAGCCTATAATTCCATCTCATATATGAGCTAAGGGATTAACGAAAGCTTTGGTATTTAAATCAAATTTTAGTAAAAAGCCAGTCATTGGATTTCTCTTGCTTTCTTTAAAACAGGATTAGTATCCTGGCTTAAACTCCAACTGAGATAAATGCTTGTATAAGTTGTTCTGTAACGACTATTCGATCGTAAGTACGACACTAAGCTACTGCGCTACACTGCCGCTTAATACGGAATAGTTTATTCTAATAATGTGTTTTTTTTTATTCTAATATATATATTATATAAGTATATACATATATTACACATAGGAATAATTTCATTGTAGTGTAGCGTATTACCTAAGTGTGTATTTTTATACAATAAAAGTATCAAGTTTATTAGTTTACAGTGAAATTATTCCTATGTGGCTAAATGGGAAACCACTGAACATAAAGCAGGCAACCATATATCAAGCCAGTCCTTTAAAAAAAAGTTCTCGGCAGATAGATCTCTACCCCCAATACCTACGCACCCTCCATATTATAGCTGTTTTAAATGAAAAGTGGTTTTCAAATTCATTGACAAGGGAAATCAAATGATCTTTCACAACGTTGCGTATTCACTTAATTTAGTCATGCAATTGAGTTGCATCATTCAGCTCAATAGGTCTCTCTCAGCTGTAGGACTCATTTTTTTTTATGTTACAGGGGGCAGACGAGCAGACGGGTCACCTGATGGAAAGTGAACATCACCGCCCATGAACGTCTGCAACTCAGGAGTCACAAACAAATTGACTTTACCGCAAGTAGTTAAAGATTGAATTTGCCTCTTTGGTCACACACAACTGACTCAAGGTCACGCCGACCTTTTAAAAATTATGTCTATGACATAATTTTTAAAAGGTCGGCCTGACCTAGGCAGTCTAGCTTACAGAGTATATTGAATAGTATGAGAATCTAGCTCTTTAATCTATTATGAACTACTCTTATAGAAGTGAAGTATTATTCAGTTCGGTTTATTTATATATATATATTTATATTTGTGTAGCTATTTAGCAAAAAAAATATTGTTTAACGTAAGTAGTACATAGTCGAGGCCTGTATTAAGATTGAAACCTCTTATCTACACAGATAAGAAGTTTTAATTACTACTTACTACATAACCATTTCTAATATGATTCAAAGGGTTATAACGTAGATATTAGGTCTTCACCTATGAAGTTGAAGATTTGTTTGAAATTTTTAACATATATTTTTTTTTAGCTAAAGTACCGGCCCCAATTATCTATAAAATTTTGTCATTTTGATTGCAGTTTGCTATAGAAGTTTTCTGGACGTTAGGCAATAAAGTCAGCGAAAGCTTTTTGTACTGCCTCTCGGGTGTTGATTTTCGGTCCACTTAAAAAATTTACTAACTTTTGAAAAAAGTAGAAATCAGTTGGGGCAAGGTCCGGTGATTAAGGTGGATGATGGAGAGCTTCCAGCTGTAATTCTAGTAACTTTATGATGGTTTGTCTTCAAGTGTGACCTCGCGCCTTGTTTTAGAGAAGCAATGGGGAAGAGCGATTGACTAGTCGTGATTGTTGAGTTGCGAGCTTCTCCATCATTCTTTGCAATTCTTGGCAATAGACCGCTACCGCCATTATTGAGTTATTCGGTAAGAAGCTGTGATGTACAATTCCAGCACTGGTAAACCTGAGAGTCACTATCATCTTCATGTGGGTAATATTTTTTTTAGCGCACTGTTAGGTGCTGTACTCGGGTCCACCCACTGAGACGAACGCTTACGGTTGTCGCACAGGACCCACTTTTCATTGCAGATACAAAATCGATTCAGAATTCCCTCGTTTCTATGCCGATTCAGTATTGATATGCATGCTTCGAAGCTTCGTAAGCCTCGCCGATAGTCGCTTAGTTGGTGTTGCACCCACTTATCTAGCTTTTTTATCTTGGCGATTTGATGCAAGCGCTTCAATGTTGTTTTGACACTAAAGCCCGCAGTAAGCTCAGCAGTAGATTGAGTTGGATCCGCTTCCACTATCGCCTTCAATTTGTAGTTTTCGACTATAGTTACCGCCAGACCGAGAGGCTCGTTCATCAACTCAAAATCTACAGATATAAAACGATTAAACCAGTAATGGAACGTGTTGTTGTTTGCGATGTTTCGTGTTGTTTGCGCATCGGCATTTCCACGTAGGAACTCATATTCGAAAATTCTAAGTTTTTTTTTAGTTTGTGTGTTTTAGATAGTGTTAAATTTACAAAAATAAAACACTATCTAAAAAAAATGACTGCATGTTAAATTAAAATAACATGAAAATAAATCATAATAACATTAGAACATCATCATAACATTGGAATAATATTTATTTGAATTTCGAATTTCGTGCCAATCCACAGATATTTGTAAAATATATAAAATGCTGTTTTTAAAAATCTTCCATTTCTAATGTAAGGACCAAAGTCTGATTCTTTGTTTTCTCCTATACGTAGGTAATCCTTAAGTGTATTTTGATTTCTTATGTGATTTACTCTAAAATTGACTTTAAATTCAAATGGAATTTACCTACTAGCAACCTTAGGCATTTATAAACTAAGTACATCTGAAAATAACACTGCATAGTTACTCTTATTAATTTACTGTCTTCTGTGAATGCCACTCCATCGATAAACGAGGTAGTCGAGAGTGCTTCTGTGGGAAAAGTATAAATAGGAACTCTTTCTTTTTTTTAGATATCGTCATTCTCTTGAGCAGAATGTCCATGTGTCCTGTGTTATTTTTTTTCAGATTTCAACAAGTAGTTCGGTATTTAATTAAATTTAATAGTCACGTTCATTATGATAGTGGTATCGATTACACATACGCAGGTATACATTCTGTGCCCATACAACGATGTTTCGTTGAAGTCTTTGCAATAGAGATTTTCTTCTAGTTACGAAGACATCAACGCATTAATAATTTACTTTTACCTAATATGCTACGTTGGTTTAAACTATTAGTAAAAACTATTATACTTAAATAGAAAACAATTACCGTATGCTAAGCTACGTGTCAAAAGTCCTGATTAATGTTTTTGTTGATGTTTTCACATTATACACTAATCTAATGTTAAAAATATATCTAAAAATAATTTTAATTGCTGATATCACTCAGCGTTAAAATATTGATAAGTAGTGTATAGGTAGTGTTAAAATTGGCAGAAAATCATTTCTATACCAACTCTGTATCTTCGCTACCTATATTTATCTTTAATTATGTGTTAAAGATGTCTCTATTTATTTCTTTCTGTTATAAATCTCAACAATGTTCTACATTTGAACACAAGCTTTTTATGTGGAAAATAGCGATGTTTTGTACTCACTTCCTAAATATCTATATAACCTGCGTAAAATTACGCACGTAAAGTACCTATCAACTTTCCGTGTGTTATCTCACTAAAGTGACATACCGCTTAGGGAAGGTATTTACCGAGAACATTACCTTACATATACTATGTTCATACTACTTGGAATGAACTAGCGTTATCGTAACAATTACCTTTGGACTTACTGGGATTCATTCACATAGTACCTACATTTTGTTATTTGTTTTCAATTATTATTATTATCATGTATTATTATAAACAGGCAAGACATAACAGTTAAAATCCATTTTCTTATTTTCTACAGATCGTGATTATTTTTTAGATGTTTTTCAAGTCATTTCTAAGTCAGGGGAAATGTATTATAACAAATGTAAATAACTCCAGGGCTCATGATTAATATTTGCGCCCTTCAACTCAGAAAACTCCTGCCTCAGTAGAAATCTATTTATAACAACTGGTTCGTAAATGGACTTTGGGCTAAAAATATTCATTTGTGATCAACAGTGACACCGCACAGCCCTATACAGACGGCGCATATTGTTCCATGTTTACTTAGCCCTTAGCCCCAGTGTGCACACAACTTACAAGGCTTACATTGTGATATAACATAATTTCTAATAGATGACGCTACTATAATAAATTTTAAAGTTATTAAACTAATCAGATCTTAATAAATTAGTTACATATATACTATGAGTTGGTATTTAAGATATTTTGTGTGAGTAATTACGATTGATTGTGAACAAATCATTAAAAAATGTCTTGGGTGAATGAAGATCTACCTCTGACCACTAGATGTCACTAACTTTTGACAGTACTTAAATACTCATTACGCACATAGGTACACCAATCATCACTAGATGCACTAGTTCTCTTGTAGATTCATTCAACCAGCGAGAATTTGTTGATTTTTTGCGTTTCTGAGCTTCGCAGTGTTTTGTGAATTAAAATTAATGTGTTTCTTATCTCTAGTCTCGTAGTCATGTGAATATAGAGTGATCATTCGTGCGAACGTTACACAATGGATGGGTTTAGAACATTCAAAGCAAGGTAATGGGCGATGTTCTTGTAAGACAAAAGAGTCGTCCTTCACACATTAGTAGAACATCGTTGTGCAAACAAGTTGTTATCTGCACGCCGTGTATAGCTAGAGGTGATTATTGAAATGCTAATACAGGTTACACACAGCATGTAAGTACTCCAATTCGCCATTATTGCACCTTAGCAAAGGAAACGACGCATCTAATTACTAACTCTTCTTGATCTGGTGGTGGGTTTCTATCGCTTGATGCTGTTACAAGTAATAAGAAATATAGTCTAGCTTACTAATTGAATTTAGATTGTAATGGCTAACGTAAAACGTAGATTAAATGCACCCAAAAGTGCACATAAAAATGAATCTAAAAAGAAGCAGACTAACGGTTGTATAAAAAAAGAATTAAGATCATTGCGATCTGTGATTGACAGTCAAATAACAAATGGCATTAAGAGCAGCGGACCGGAGCCTCGAGTCGCCAAGAAACGCAGCAATAAAGCAAGTAACATTGACAATGAGATGACCTTAGTGACTCCCTATGAAAAATATAATTTTTTACATAAACTTACAACTAAGTTGAACCTTAATAAGACATCTGGTGTTAGAACCACTAGACAATCTAAACAACCTGACATTGATACACCTACACCTGAACTACCAGGGCTTATGAAGACTAAAACAAATCATCTCAGAAGTACAAAGTTTTTAAAAATCATGGATAATGTCATTAAAAATGAATTAGGTATCACAAGTAAATTAAAAAAAACTAATTCATCATCAAAAACTAGAGTGACCAATAATAATAAAAGTGAAATTATTAATCAAAATAATAAGGTTGAGAAGTATACTAAACAACCTGATAAAAATAACAAGACCACATCCCAAATTAAGAAAATTGCCCATGTGGTTTCTGTTCATCTATCAGAAGCTCCTGAAAATATTCCATCAGTTCCAGATAAGTCAATTCAACAACAAACTATACTAGTGAATTTTACAGATGAATCTAAACTCTTGACACCACCACCAGTCCGTAAAAAAGGCAGACCAAAAAAGAATCCAGAAATTGAGAAGACACCAGTAAAACAGAAACAAGCTACTCTCACCAATGGTGTAGATTACTCACAGCGTTTATTTGAATGTGATTATTGCAATAAAACCTTTAACAGGAAACATTCACTAGTGAGACACGTTTACCTACATCTTGGCAGGAAGCCACATGCATGTCCAGTTTGCCCAAAAAAGTTCCGTATTCTTAAAAATATGAAAAATCACATGGACCGTGATCATTGTGTACCTAATGTTGATGAAAATACAAAAACATATTCTTGTAATATCTGTGACAAACCTTTTCTAACTAAAGAAAATTTAAAGTTACATCTAACAAGTCATGCCAAGGGTGAAAATTCATTTAAATGTATCTATTGTGACAAAAAATTTTCTTACCAACTTCTACTAATTCAGCATGAAAAAAAACATTTGGTAACTGGAAAATATCTGTGTACGTTGTGTGACGTCAAATTTAATTCAAGGGATAAACTGTATGTGCATGTGAAGAGCCATTTGAAGCTTACTGATTACATTTGCCAGTATTGTGGTAGGGAATTTTTGAGAGCTAACTCAATGAAGAGGCACGTACAGACAATGCATAGAGGCCGGACAATACAGTGTCCAATTTGTAACAAGAGCCTGAAGGGACATCTAACTGAACATATGCGCACACATGACAATAAGCGTCCGCATAAATGTCCTGACTGTGGAAAACTGTTTGCACAATCAACTCAATTGAAAGTACACCGACGTGGTCATACTGGATATCGGCCATATTCATGCAGGATCTGTGACCGCCCTTTCTCTCACTCTAACGCATTGATGTTACACCTCAGACGTCACACTGGTGAAAAACCATTTCCATGTGCTGAATGCCCTATGTCATTCTCTCAGTTACCACATATGAAAGCGCACATGTCAAAGATCCACGGTAAAGTAAACCCGTACAAATGTCTGAAATGTTATGATTATTTCAAACTGAAGAAAGATCTACTTGTTCATAAAAAATCCTGCAAGGGTACTGGTATTGATACTGATCTATATGGGGATGATCGACCTTACGGGGATGGCTCTCAAGACAATGATGCTGAAGTAGTTCAAGTGGAATCCACCATGACATTGTCTCGAATGAGATTCCTATTGGCTCTTCTATTGACAATGATTGCTAGCAAAGAAAAGCTCAAGTATTTAGGTGCGTAAACTTTATTTTTTTAAAGTTTGTTTACACTACACTCATAAACTGGCACTGTTTTTTTTTATTAGTGTGAAGTACATTGCTTAGTGTGTGTCCGCAATAATGTCCATACCGGAAGCGTGCACAGTTCATAGTCATTTTTAAATTGACAAATCTTAAATTACAATTTTGACTTGTAATAATTTCCTCTCGTACTTAAGACATCGACGCGTCCACATTCAGTGCGCACATTATCACAGGTCATTGAATTTAATCTTTATAACAAGGTTGTTTAAATAACACATTATGCATTGTCATTGAGAGTGAAAGTAAGGATGGAAACATGAGAACATAGAACACCATAATATATAACTACTGTTATTCATTGGGTTGCGAAACCGTGTGCTGTGCTCCGAGTGTATTGTGCTTATGTGATGTTCAGCGACAGTATTTGTTGGCACGATGTCCATTGCATAGCTTATTCATCATGGTTTTTATTCTAGCGAACACACTTGTCGTTGTATACGACGACAGGGGAGTTTCCAGCGAGGTTTTATGAGTAATTATTTCGTGAGTGAATTCATTTCCCATTGTTGGTAATGTTTGGTGTCGGTCGGTGATGGTGATATTATTATCAGGTTATTTTGGGAAATGAAATTTGATTTCTAATTTTCGTGGGCTTCGGATCAGGTGGTGGCAGGTCTACGTTCAAGCTGTTAAAAAATGCTTTGCAAATAAACTGCTCAACATTAATAGCAAAAACAATTGACATGTTTATTATTTACCAGGGTTCAACAAACGCCTTGTAGACGATTTGCTTGACGAGTCATTAGAGGCTATGGACCAAGTCCCGTGCAAGGACGAGACTATGTCTCCGCTAGTGCGTCTCAGGACTAACATTGAGAAGTTGCTAAAAGGTACTGTTCCTCCAGAACAGATGGAGAAGTTCAAGAAAGAGAACAAGTCAACTGAAGAACTTCTCGAGCTGTTAACTAGCGAGAAAGACAAGTAAGGTAAGGTAAAATAACACCAAATGTATATTCTTGGGTAGATTCGTTATGACGAAATTGCAAAACTCAGATATTTTTTGTTAACTTTGAATATATTTTTTCTGTTGTAAGCCGTCAAATAAACGATAACACAAGTTTTATCAATATTAACTACATGCAATAACACGTGCGGCTATTTGTTAAGTAAAGTACCTAAACCCTAAACTGTAACCATATAATACGATAAGATTTAATTTACTTATCTTATATATAAAATTCTCGTGTCACAATGTTCGTTCCCGTACTCCTACGAAACGGCTTGACCGATTCTCATGAAATTTTGTGTGCACATCGGGTAGGTCTGAGAATCGGCCAACATCTATTTTTCATACCCCTAAATGGTAAGGGTGACCCATCCCTATTTTTTTTTTGTTTTGCAATACAACGTTTGCCGGGTCAGCTAGTAAATTTATAAAACTAAGTTTCATATAATTCTTGCCTTGGGGTTGAACTGGCCAGTTCGTATTGTAGTGACCTTTCCAATAGGACGGACATAGGGGTTCGAGACCCAGGTCACTCGGCCTCGGAGCTACTGCCATTGCCCTTTGCGTTTTCAACAACTGGTCTTCTCTTTGTTCCCTTTTAAACGCTGGCAAGCGGCCAGTCATAAAAATAACATCCAAAATCTTTTGCAATGTAAAACATTGCGCGTAAAATTGATGATGAGTGGTTTTGAGGTTTAATTTTTTAAAGGCAAGCAACCATCGCACTTACAAAAATGCTGCATACTACGCAAGTTGTAAAACATAGCACTACGTAACGATTATATACTGTCTAACTATTTACCTAATAAATAAAGTAAATTAAAATTTACCTAATAAAGTTATGGATTATTTCAATTAAGTTATAAACTGTCTAAAATGACATATATTGTCCGTATGGTGACGGATTAAGAATACGGAGCGTCACCACCCCTATTCATCCCGTGGGTGTCGTAAGAGCCGACTAAGGGAACAAACTACGCATAACAACAGCATTGCAAAGAAAAGGAAGAAAATAAACAAATAATACTCTTTATGACTAATGACTCAATGACTCACACTAGTTTGTACTTGCATGGCTCTTAGAACCACTACGGTCCTTACCAGACGTCTCCTATTCATGATCTACCTCTCTCCTTTTTTTTTCCGTGCGGAAATCCCCTCGGCTACCCCGACTACTGGATGGCCGCTGGGGTGGTTATGTCGGACTGCTAAAACCACACGCCGCCGCCTGGATACCAATAGCAGGGGAACCAGGTGTAACCTAGAAAGACCTACAAATCTGCCTACCTGCTAAATTTCAACTTTATAGGCAATGTGGTTTCTTAGATTTCATAATTTGTCGATTTTGTTTTGTCTGTGTGGTGACGGATTAAGAATACAATGTGTCACCACTCCTATTCATCCCGTGGGTGTCGTAAGAAGCGACTAAAGGAGCAAACTACGCAGGTCAACAGCACTGCAGAGAGAAGGAAAACTTAAAACAAACCCAATACCAACCCGTCTGGCTAGCGTGGTATAGGCCAAAACTACAGTGCACTATTAAAGGCTATTGATGATGATGATGATTGCTTTTGTTTGCTTTTTGTTGCATAAATTAATAAAGTTGCTTTTACGTCAGTCACATTATCAGCCGATTAATTATTAAAGGTGTCAGCCAACATATAAAAATGATAAACTCTATTTATTATTAAACACGTTTAGTAATATAGTAAGTATTACATAAACTGACAAACCCTCCATGTCAATGTTATCCGTCTTATGATTGTTATACCTAAGTGTAAATTGAAATTTTAAACGTATTACATTACCCGATGATTTCGCAAACTAACTCGTAACAAATCGCAAACCAACTCGTAACAAACAAATCAAGTAAACAAATGTGACTGGTTTCTCACAGAATCTGCCAACCAATATTGATTTTTATAACCAGACCGCTTTCAATTTTAATATCTGCGGGAATTAGTTTCTGTAGCGTAATATTTTCGACTTGTCGAAATCAGTTCCAGTTGAGTTTTAACTGCATTCCTGGAAAATAGTGTTGGGAAATTTTCATAATAGCTTTTTTAAATTTAGACCCTCAAATAACGCTAAAAATCGTATTGAAGCAAAATATATTTGAGTGGAAAATAAAATCGAATAAATTTTAGCCACCAAGTGACTCGTGATCGGGAAAAACGTGTTTCAACAAAACATGTATGCATTACCATACCCATACCCTTAATAAACTATTTCAGCAGCTATTAGGTACAGTAGATTATGAAATATGTTTAAAAGAACTTTGTTGCAAGCAATCTAAAACAACAGAAATGATTCTCTATGGAAAGAAAATTTTGTACCAATAAAAAAATCAGGTTGTTTGTTCTTCAGATTTTAAGAAATATATTTTGTTGTTGGGTACTAAGTGGACTGGCTATCGTTAATTAAATAATTATTTTTGCATCCAATCACATTTGCCTCATAGTTGATGATATTATAATACTTGCAGGACAAATAATAATTACTGGTTTAGCAAAACGTTTAAGATGTATTTGTTACAAGGTGAACTTGCAGTAGTGAGTAACATAGATGTTGGAACTTGAGGTTGCAGTTCATTTATTAACGATAATAATAAATACAAGTAGTATTTAACTGACTGCCTCAGTGGCGCAGTGGCAGTGTATGCGACTGCTGTGCTGAGTCCTCGGGTTCGATTCCTGGGTCGGATCATAATATGATCACACAAACATATTATGTTTGTGTGATCTGCCAATATTTGTTTCGGAGTTTGGGTGTTTTCTATGTATAATATGTATATATTTACAAAAAAGTATTTAAGTATTATATCAGTCAATCTAGCTTCATAGTACAAGCTTTGCTTAGTTTAAAACTAGATGGCGTTGTGTGTCAGATGTCCGAATTATTATTAATATTATTTTTAAACTATTAACATTAATTACAGCTTTATTAACACAGCTCTTTAATGTGTCATAATATAATACAAAGCCAAAAGATCAAATTACATAATAATGTGGTACGTTATCGCGTTAAATGCATAGACTCAAAAAAGGTTGAATTCGGGTTAGCTACTGTCTCTTATGGTTTCTATCTTATTTCGATAAGGGTTTAGTGGGATTAGGGGACCGATGTGTTCCACTTTAAAGCTGACCCATCGTGTAGTTTTATTCGGTTCGATGCCGAAAAATCACCATAACTAAAATCCCGCTTGTTGTAAAGACTCGATCAGCGTAGCTCCAGCGTCAGTATTTGAGTTTAACAGATATTTAGTGTATGACGTCATGTAATTGTGTATGGTAAGAAAAATGTGTGCTTCCAACTATTGGGGAGTTATTCACAAAAAACTGTTTCTGGACTTTTTCATCCTATGGACGTAGAAGAAAAAAAAGGTATCAAAAATCAGTGTATGACGTGAGGTAATAGTGTATGTTTAAATGAAATTTGTGTGTCAATAAACTGCGAAGATATTCAAGTTGCCGCGGCGACAAAGTTTGGCCATTTGCTAGATTTCATATAAAACGCTTTTCTAGAGAGTTGTAGTGTTTTTCATACGTTATTTTGAATTTGCTTATACTGTTTGTAAAAATGGATTGATGATGAATTGGATGAAACAGGTTGGATGCACGAATTTTAACTTACCATATAACAATTACACGACGATATACACTAAATATCTGTTAAACTCAAATAATGAAATTCGACCTATTTCCGCTAGGGCAACGCACACAAAGAATCGTTGGTGTTTCCACATAATATGTTTCGTGTAAGGAATGAAAATCTCGCGAGATTGGAGCTCAATCCCGGGAGTTTATGAATAACAATACTGCGAGATCTCGCATATTCCGAGATCTCGCGAGATTGGCAGTTTTGTGTTATTTTTTTTGCAATTTTTTCTTAATAGTATAAGGGGGAAAACGAGCAGACGGGTCACCTTTTTTTTTTCCGTGCGGAAATCCCCTCGGATACCATCTATCGGTGGCACGTCGGACTCGAACCGACTAAAACCGCACGCCGTCTCGGGTACTAATAGCCGGGGAACCAGGTATACCCTAGAAAGGAAGTCCCTGGTGCCCCGAAACAGACGGGTCACCTGATGGTAAGCAACTACCGCTGCAATGGACACCTGCAACTCAAAAGTCACAAGTGTGTTGCTGCCCTTGGAGTCCCTAAATTATAACAATATTTGAATAAATTAGGAAAAAAAAATTATAAGTATTATAAGATAATTTATTTTCAAGAATTTTTTCAATAGACTTTTATGCATCAAACATTGTTTGACGTATCTCTCTATAAACTTCTAAGTAGTAAACTTTGACGTACGTATCTATAAAATAACAAATGAAAGAAACAACCAGTCTTCTCTTTTAATATCAAGCAAGTCTATCTTTTAGTAATAAAATTTTATCTAGCTTAAAATTTTACTGACGCCTCGTCCCGCAACCGCTAATTTAGGCCGCCGCCTCCCGCTCACCGAACGATACCGACAGGGCCTCAATTCTGCTATTTTATGTTCACGCCAAGCCACTGTCACACCACTGACACGCTATTGAGATGCCATTGAGTGGCCATTGGCATCGGTATAAATATCGGTAGTCTTCACTAACTCAGTGTCTTTACAGTGGCGATGGAATGGCAGTGGCTCATCAGTGGTGATATCAAAAAGATTGCCATATTTGGAAAAATATATAAATCTTTTCTTTTAAAAAAAATAATGTAATATGTTTTCAAATTATAAGGAAATGATTTATTAGCATATATAATTAAAAAAAAAAATCCTTATAATTTGAAAATATATTAAAAAAAATTATATTATATATATTATTATATATATATACTACCGATATTTATACCGAACATAAAATAGCAGAATTGAGGCCCAGATCGCAACGCGAGAACGAGATTGCATTCCCTAGTCTCATGTGTAATTTGGCTTGACTGTTTCGACTTTTTCATTTGGAGTCGTGTAAATATCGATGTCTAGACTACTTTTTATAATGATTTTAATTCACGGAGTAAGTGACACATTTCTTAATTTGTTGTTTTAATTCTAGGCCCTGTTGGAAATACTGGGGAAGGCCAGATCTGCGAGCCATCCAACTTGTTTACCTATAAGTATAGATATAGTAATAACTTACTACTTATTTATTGTTGATTATACTTTTCCTATTTAATATTTTTCATTGCGTATTTAAAAATATAGGTATAAGTGGTACAGTGTCCAAAACCCCAGTGGTTAGTGCTCCAAAGAGAAACTTCGGCCGTTAAGCACGGCCTTTCGCATCAGCCTGTTGATGCAACAATATAACTATTACTTTATAAATATTTTAATGTAGTAGTAAGTAGTAGTAATTTAGTAGGATAAATAATAGGGTACATTTAAATGTACCTTTTTTGATGATGATGACTTGCCATTAACAAAGTAATTATCCCAAAGATGATTTTTGTTTTTCATTTTTGTTTGTTATTATTATTTTAGTTAAATTATTAAAATGTACCATTCCGGTTCAGAAAGATTGTGCCATTGTGGGGTTAAATTCAATTTTAGCTTTCAATGATATTGTAATAATTTTCAAGTGTATTTTTTAAATGATTGAGGAGACGTGTCTTAAGATGCATACAACTATGTTTTATATATATATATTTGTCTGAAATTCTGTAGTGAAGCAAACATTTTCTGTGTATATCACGTGTATAAAACAACAAAACCAATGAGTATATTAAATAATTTTATCTAAACTGAGAGTAGGTGAAATCTTTCAATGTTTAACTCCGTAAGAACTGTGTTAGGCATTGGCCAATGGTTAAGGTATCTTAAAGAAAGCATTGGTTTAAGTAAATTTGTTTGAATCGTAAATATAAATCAATAATAAATAGTAATTCCCTCTGTAAATATATATTCCTAATTTTAAGATTTGTCTTGTGAATTTGTTAATTTGCTGAAAAATAATGTATTTATTCCATTCTCATTACATTTAGACCTTCATAATCTATTTATTGGTATGTTAAGAGAGTTCTGTTATAGTTTTTTATTGGTTTACTAATGTTTTAACTAAATTAAAGATGTACCGTAAGTTATTAGAATGAATGAATATTCCTAGTTTTCCTATTGCGTGTTATATGTGTGTAGCAAAATAGGTATGGCAACCACTTACTATATTATTATAACTAAGTGCATGTATATAAAACACGCGTATAACATTTGATACCCAACAGCAGGAAAACAAAGGGCATTTGATTAATTTATACGTGGCCGTCATACCCTACAAGGCCTGCCCATGTGAACAAAAGAAAATTCTTTGTCCGGATCATTGAATAAGAACGTTAAATCTGTGACGCGTGTGACGTCACGCCTCGATGGATACGCGCACGCATTCGTGATGAAAATCTATTAAATGTTTTTTTAACCGATTTCAAGAAAGGAAGGAATTCCCAATTTGGTTGCATTTTTATTCTTGTTCGTTTGTTACATCTGAGCCTTACCGTTTTTATTAAGTGATTTGGTAAATTCTTTTTTTTTTGGGATAGTATTTACTTCAGGAAATTATCGAATAAAAATAGAGTTAATTACAATTCATCATAATGTTGATGATGGGCATTGAAATCGGCGATATTTTTATAAAAGTCAATTTTATGTTTGCGCGCATCACAAATATTCATCCAATAACTTATGTTATCTGTGAAAATGCGTTTTTATACCAAATTGAATTGTTATCATTTTGTATCAGTGCCATTTATTGTTGTATTTAAATTATAAAATTTTAACTATTTCAATTTTTAACATTAAGGATAATATATAAGCATGTTTGCGTGATATAGGTATCACTGTGTTGTAAGTGTATTGAATGTTAGGTTAATCCACTTACCCACACATAAATTATGTAGTTGTGACGTATATAAGATAACTAAATGTTAGAAAGCCTTTTCAGCATTTATGTTCCAGTGAGTTTAATAATAATTTTACTATTAAATACACTTATACAATGTAAAGTATCCCTTAAAATTAGCGTAATTTACACACATTCTGGGAATAATCGTAGGCTGATGGTGAAACATACATACAAACCTTCTTAAATTGTGCCCAGAATATAAATACAATTAAAGAATATATTACAGTCAGTCTAAGCAACTTTTTTAATTGATGTATTGACATAGGCTTAGGGTTATCTATCAGCTTACTTATGTGAATAACAAACGTGATCGCCATTTAAAGTGGGAAAAAAATTGCGGCAACTGGGTTATTTTTATGCATGTTTTTAATTAGTATTGTTTTTGTTGTATAAAATTATTTAGAAATTGTTTGAATGTTCAGCCAAAGAAATGTCCACCGTGAGTTATATATTAGTCAGTGATTCTACATACATTTTAATTATTTTTGTATAAATCAGAATATATCCAACTTAGGACAGTGTTCGAATTCGCTTTAGAATTATTTTATTTCAAACAATATCGAGTTCTGTCCAAAAGTACCAAAGAAAATGTTTAGTGAGGTAACTAACATTTAAATACATAAATGTGTCATTTGATTTAGTTTTTTTTTTTCACCATAACGCAATAACAAGGTACTTAATGATGACGTGACCATTCGTGTTAAGAAAATAGTGACGCATCAATCCAACATTTATGTCAGTAGAAGAAAGTACATTTATGTCAAATAAGAAATTAACTATAATGAAACAATAAGAATAATTAACTAGTTGAAACTAAGAAATAATATAATTAATAAAATAATTAACAATTAATCTTTAAAAAAATACATCTCTTGTAGAAATTCTATCGCAACGATTAGATCGGAATCGAACCGACTATAATCAACTGATATCTCCTAGAAAATGCCATATGAACATGGAGGATAATAATATATAAAACTCCATTCGAGGACATTGAACTCTCGAGAAGCGATTACAGGTCACAAGGGCGCTGCACGTTTCGACTTCAAATCGGCTTAAGTACTGCCCTTATCGCTACAACCACTCAGTTTTTTGTTATTACTGCGTGTATAAACGCCTCGAAACGATTTAAAATACAGCTATGCGGCTGCTCGATTTTAGTAAAATTATCAGCCGTTTTCTTCATTACAATCTCGAAACCGCCACAATTTTCATTTGTGTCTATATTAGACTTGCAACGAATAGTATATTCGGCAGTATACCGAATACCGAATATTCGGGAGGCCCCTGACCGAATAGCCGAATATTAGGCAAAAGTATTCGGCTGGATTTTAGCGCCAAAAACTTGTACAGACGTGAATTAAATTATGTACCTGTTTTATGTACCAATGACTACTTAATAAATGATTATAAAAGAAATGAGAACCTTACCCTTCTAAATTTTGATTACCACAATAATTCAAATACATAGAATCCTCCATTTTTCCAATTCAGAAGATGATTATGTACCTGTGTTATGCACCAATGACTACTTAAATGATTATAACAGAAATGAAAATATGAATATATACTTAATCAATCGATTTTAATTTTTCATTTTACCAATTATTTCTCAATGTCAAAATATATTATTTAAGTATTCGGTATTCGGCCGAATAATATGTAGAAATTCGGTATTCGGCCGAATATAATAAAAGCAGCCGAATAGGCCGAATACCGAATAGTAACCGAATATTCGTTGCAAGTCTAGTCTATATATTTATACCACAAAACCCAAACACAGGTAGACAAAACACTCGGTAGGTAAACCAGGTAGACAAAAGCCAGGGCAAATTATTTTGTTCTATTGTAATAAACGAAACAAATGATCATTACAAGTAGTAGTTATTTTCCCATACCGCTGATTTTTTTCTGGATAAAACGTTAAGTATAATCTAACATAAAATATTTTTGAGAATATATCTAAAATGCCACTAGCCCATAGCTTTTCTCCTAAACCCTAGGTCAGAGTCATTCGAAAATATCTACTTATATCTAATGCCTATGTCGATTTTGGCTGCGGTGATGTTTGGGCGTTTTTCGTTAGTTTCGAGCGTGTGGTTTACGTACCCTATCTTAGCAATGAAAGTGTGTGCACAGTGGGGACAAGTTATTGTTCTTCTATACAAACAAGTAAGTACCTATACATATTCATATGAACTACCTATATAATCACAATATTAATCGTCATCTGTAAGCTTAAATGTATTGATCTCGCTCTTCTTCTGTGATGACACATTTTTATTATTAAATAAAGAAATGAATGTAATTTAAATACTATATGTGCTATTGCAATGGTAATGTACAATGATAATGTATATGCTGCAAAATTGTACAAAATTCTGAGCATAAATAGAACGCAACAGAACTCAACGTCAAGAAACGTCAACGTCACGAAGCACGTCAGACATCTGAACGTCAAATTGTTCACTCAAGTCTCGATAATCAAAACAGTACCATGCACAAAATGTAATTGTGGAAGTTGTTCGTTCTAGAGCCGTATAATAAAATAAAGTAATACTAACTGAGTTCTAGAAATGGGCACCACCGGTTTGTCGATCACGCTGGCTAACAGCATTATCGGAGTGGGCATACTGGCTATGCCTTTTTGCTTTCAACAAGTAAGCAGTTTCCCTCTTCCTAGTTCTATTGTTATAGAAAATTATCGTAACAAATCGCAATTTCTCACAGTCTATAACTGAATAGGGCTTAAGTAATTAATGCATATTAAACAATTAGAGTATTTTTCTCTAAACCTTATTATCAGGTCATAAATTAAAAAAGATATGAATAAATTTTTAATAAATTTTTTTCAGTGTGGTCTACTACTTGGTGGATTGATTTTATTGTCAATGGGCTTCATGTCAAGGCTATGCTGTTACTTTTTGTTGAAATCTGCACTACTTGCTCGGAGGAGGAATTTTGAGTTTTTAGGTAACATTTGTGAAATTATATTATAGTAGAAGTGTATCATATTTTGTTGGTAACTAGCTTTAGATAGCTCCCGCACAGCCGTCTGATACTGAAGTCACTTCAAAATGTTTCTCATTCAGTTAAAAACAAAAAAAAAACATTTAAAAGCCCACCATCATTTTACATACACTTGCCAGAATATTAACTCCACAAAAACAGACAACAGACAATTAAACTCAACAAAATAATATTTAATTATGTAACCTCTAATTATATCTCAAAATTTTTGTTTTTATAAATTTGTTTGTCAAAAGATATTGGCATAAATTTAATATATAAAAAAACCTAGTAATAACTAACAATATTGTCAGTGGCCCCACACTAGGCAAGCCTATCCTGTTGGTGCCTGTTTACATACATTGCTCCGGCCATGTCTGTAAAAGATTTTCAACATTTCTTTTATTTTATAATACTAAAACAACTTTACATAATGGTAGGAACATAATTTATCTTATTACTAATAAATGAATATTGTTATACCAAAGGGGTATACCAGCTAAATCCCTCTATAACATACTTAAATACCTTGGATTGCCAAGAGCTTCAGTAAGCTCTGTTCTTGAACGAATATCGAAAGCGGCATTGCTAGGCTCATATCAAATATGGTAAGGTAGAGGGGGTAACACAGCAGACAGTAGAGGTGAGCGCTGACACGTCGCAAGGGGTCCTCCCTAAATCTATACCTGGGTCGCAAGTTCCAGGCGCCTTCAAAGGATCCCATTTTTAACACATTGGGACCCCTCCGTGCCTCGGAGAGCACGTTAAGCTGTTGGTCTAGGATGCCATTCGTATACATGTGTCAATTGTTACGGGTAGTTGGAGCCCTAAAAAGTTCAACAAACAGTCTTTCTACAAAACTTTGATATCGCCTAGTACTTGGATTGTGGAGTTCTAATGGCAGTTGCTCTGCTTAAAAAAACAAAGTTTAGCTATTTTGTAGCAGACCTAAAGCTGACCCCAACCTAGTTTGGGGAAAGGTTCAGAGGAAAGATGATATAGTATATGCTAATTTTAATTTTCTTGGTCGTCTTTTTAAAATATTTCTTCAATGTGACATTGTTATTGTTTTTTTATCAAAATTTGTTATCAAAATTTTATGACTGAGTTGAGTAGTGATTAGAGAAAGTGTAAAAGCAAAAACAAATGAACTAACATGAGCATGGTCAAAGATGGGTAAAAAATTATATGGTATGGGATCAGATAGATATCAATACTATATTTCAGGGTATTTATAGTAACATAATACTTCTTTTTATATAACTCTATTGGTTTACGCATCATACGCTATTATAAAGGTTCCGGTTGGCATGAGTTTGTCCGATACCCTCAACTACCGCCGTCATGTTTCACCAAATACAAAACAGTACTAAGTCATACAACTAAATCTTCCTTAGGGAATACTCTATTGTCTATTCCTAACAGTATGCACAGTAGTCCATTCAGAAGTTTTGGAGTTTATCGCAATCAGTCCGACAGATAGACAAGCGCGCGGGGACTTTATTTTATAGTAGATATGTAGTGATATTATAGTTGTTTTATACATCGATAACTAGGATATTAAAAATCGACATACTAATAACATATACATGTATTTGATTCACTTTGTTATGTAACTATTGAGACTGTTTTTCAAATAATCTCAATATCAATAATTTCACTCATAATAAGTATAGTTTACATTCCTACAGCTATTGTGTTTTACTAATTGATGTTGTAGACACGGTAGACAATTTTGTTTTATTTAAAGACTTCTTGTTAAACTCTTCAGTTAAGCTAAATGCTTCATAACAGTAATGTAACAAGTGGGGTTCGAAGCGCAAATCGCAAATCCGACACCCTAGATATGACGCTATCACTACGGCCTTTCAGAAAACCAGTGTTGAGTTTTTCACCGAGTGACTGAGGTTACCGGCGCCAAAATCCCTCCTTCCCTAGATTCTGGGAGACAATTCAAAGGGCGGGAGCGCTCTTTAGAGTTACAGGTGTCCATGGGCGGCGATAGTCACTTACCGTCAGGTGACCCGTCTGCTTGTTTACCCTCCTATATCATAAAAAAGTGGCACACTGGGAGTGCTGAGAGAAGTGAAAACATGAATTTTTTTTTTTTTTTTATTGTAATAGGATTTTCTTGGTTTTTAGATTTGAAAAGTTCCGACATGAATATCTATGTTTGACGTATATACACACTATATGTTTATATTATATATAGTTATATTATCAATGTATTTTAACCCAAAATCAACCGTCGTGTAAACGGGACCAATAAATGTAGAAACTTATATACAGAATTGTCGGTAACGGTAAAACGGTAACGGTTTTTTCCCATCTCAAAAAATACATTCTTTTGTTTGTTGTTCAAAAATACCCAACGCGCCATAAGAAGTTTTCACTTCAATATACAATTCCTTACTATAACTATTTTGCATTGTGGTTCGCCTTCTACGTATGTCGCTAGTCTCGCATGAGACATGTATAAATTAGATATCAAATCAATAGGCTTAATATTATCGGTAATCGAAATTTAAATATATGGTGTGTGTCGGCTTCTGTGTTGCTAGCAACCATAGATTGGTGTTAACGTGTCGTGACGACCATTTGTTGTAATTGTGGGTTGTGGGTTCGATTCCCGTTTAGTGCATACATTGTTTTCAGTGCTTCTAGACATAACATCATGCATTAAAAATATTTAAGTTTGCAAAGCCGCGTACCCATAGGACAAAACATAGGATATTAAACTTTGGTTAGTTTGCCGAGTAATAAAGTCAATGAAAATTTATTATGCTGTAGCCAATACCATCAAAACTATTCATAGGTACAGGCCGTGTCGTTATACAGCCTGTTGTTTTTATCCTAGACCTGTCGAGTTACTTTTGGCTGTTTCGCTGCCAACGAAACTACTCAAAGTGGTAGTCACATCATTATGAATTTAATGAAATAGAGTTAGGGATTATATAGATATTACTATTTGCAGCTTTCCATGTGTTCGGCTCAGCTGGCAAGATGGCGGTTGAACTAGGGATCATTGGGTTTCTAATGGGCACCTGCATAGCGTACTTTGTAGTTGTTGGCGATCTTGGACCGCAGATTATCGCCAAAATGTTCAACATCAACCAGAGTGATATCCTGAGGTAACAGAATTTTACAGACATTATACAGTTAGACTTAAGTATCAGAACGAGTTATGTTTGGAAATTGAAATGGGTGACTAGTATTCATGTGGTTGAATAACGAAAAATTCTTATAATTAAATTATCTAAAAATAAATAAATTGGTGTTGTTATCTGATGTAAATTCTAATTAACTTAAATTTCGCAACGCAACGCAATTTCGTTTGCGTTTCTCAAATTTTTTGTCTCTTTTTTTTTAAATAGACTACTTCTGCATTAGGCATATATCTTGTGTCGCGGAGGACTTAACAAACATAGAGAACACCCAGACTCACCCCACACAAAGTGTAGTTCCATGTGGGGATCGGACCCACAACACTCAGCGTAGTAGCAAGCGGCGTGACGAGGCGGTAGTAATAAATAAATTGTTTTCAGAACATCAATAATGGTGATCGTGTCGCTAGTATGTGTCCTACCGCTTGGCCTTCTTAGAAATGTGGACAGTTTGAGCAACGTGAGCGCGGCCACTATCTGTTTCTATGTCTGTTTAGTTATGAAGGTTAGTGCGATTTTTATAAATATTAATGTAAATACGCCGTCCGCTTTGACACCTGCGTTAATTTTGATTTATACTTTTCTTCTGTTTGACGTTAACATATTTACTGACGTTTATGGTTAACTAGCGATCCGCCCCGGCTTTGCACGGGTGCAATGTAGATACTACTAATATAGAGTCAGTGTGGAGTAAAATTAATTATACTATAATTATGATAGGAATACCATCTTAGGACAGGACTTCTTTAAATGCAATATACGCCCGCTCCAATCCTGCCGGCTGCTGCCACCCTAAAACAACGTACGGCTAGACGACCGTTGGTCCCCCGCATTTTAAATAAATAGTATATAATAAACAAATATTCATTTTAATGATGTGCTGTAATCTACATTAAATGCACAACGTATCCAACGTATTTAATTGGATAAGGAAAAATAAAGTATTGTTTAAAATAGCTTCGTAAACAACCCATTATTTTTTGTAATATTTAAAAAATAAAAGTGGTAACTGTGAGTTATCCTTAGGAGATAGACATATACCAATGCGGCCTTTTTTATAGATCTTTTTAAGATATACAATGCCGTAGTACATTATTTTGGTCTATCTCCTATTTAGGTTTAGCCAGCGTTTGCAATGTAAACGCACAAAAACATGTTTTTTACAAGAAATCTTTTAAAGTCTCGAATTTTCTCTGCTATAATATGCATGTATTATCATATAAGTCTTCCTCTTAAATCATTCTCTCTATTGGTGAACACCGCATTATAATCTGTTGCTGAGCTTAAAAGATCTAAGAGTACAACACAAAAAAGCGACTTTATTTTATGCTATGTAAAGATGAAACATTTGATTAGAAATGGAATGTAATACCATTAAATCTATAAAGTATTATAATATAAAATAAGCTTAATCTTTCTGCTCTGTTCCCAATTTTATTTGAGGTCGGCAATGCATTTTGATTGTTAATTGTGGGCCGGTCGCCTGTTGATACTATAGCTCATTGGGAATATAATCGTTTTTAGACGTGCAAAGGAAAATGATAAACTGGAATAGTGGATACCTAACTCCATTCTCGAATGGGGAAACAGGACTGAAATTGCTGTACCACAACAACACTTGCTCACGATTCAACATTAGGAAGTTTTCAAAAAATTTGAATTCTGTTTCCATCACAATCACAATCTTAAGTAATAAATTTTAAAATGTATGAAGCAATGATACATTTTAAAATTTATTACTTAAGATTGTGATATTTAAGGGTGTTACCAGACCAATCGATCGATCGTCGATCTATGGTAAAATGGATAAGTCTAAGTCGATCGATTTGTATGAGATAAGCGATTTCTTTCTTTCTCTTTAAAAAACGGTCGCATCCAGTCTTCTGCGATTGCGTCTCTGTAATAATGCAACGAGCAATAGCGTACTGCCCAACAATAACGCGTTCTCTTCTGTATACACTCTGAAAGAAACTGATGGAATATAGCCCGACGATATGGTTAATCGATCAACGTCGATCGATGCCACCGATCAACTGGTCTGGTAACACCTTACCAGACCAATTACCATCTAACCCTTTTTTTTACTGTTTATTTTATATAGATGTCAAAACAGAATCTGAGAACTTGCTGTAAAAAAACTCACAATATACTTTCAAAATAACCTTATTCTGACTCTGACCTATTGATGGAGAATGTTTGAAATATAAATATCGAAGTTTATTTATTAACAGGTAATAACAGAAGCTGCGTCTCAGCTGATGACGAGCGACTGGCACCGTCGCGTCGAGATGTGGAGACCGGCCGGCCTACTGCAGTGTGTACCGATCATCTCAATGGCACTCTTCTGTCAAACGTTAGTGTACATTAACATTCGCATGATCACCTTAGTAATTATTTGGATAAGAAATTGTGTTAGGATGTTTGTTACTCGAGGCGTCAATGTCATATCCTGGATAATACATATGCACAGATTACACAATAGTACCATAGTCCATTTGCGTTAAGAAAATAGTGACGCATCGAGCATGCCTCGCACCCTGACCAATTAAGTTCGTGAATGGTCTACAGTACAGAATTCTCACTGCGCAATACCCTATCCATAAAAAGTGTCCCTTGTAACCACGGAATAAAGTATAATTTAGGTCGCAAAGTGTAATCGCCACGGAACAGTACTGTTCTATGCTAATCACCTACAGTTACATTCACTTAGAAGTTATTTCCCTTTTAGGTATATCAATTATTATCTCTTATGAGAATGTTAAAGCTGCGTTACGAAAACATGACCTAGATTATGGATTTTTGATTAAATAATAATTTAAGGAGTCGTATACAAGGCTACGTGTTTGAATACCTTTGCCGAGGCGATGCGATACTCGTACACGGACTTGTTGAAGCCGCCATGTACTTGTTACTATACGCCCAACGAACATGAACACGGCGAACACATAAATAAACTAATATAACTATATAACTAAATGTCTACTTTAGCTATATATCAATCAGATCATATTATTATTCACGAGATAATATTCCTATCTGAAGAAACCCGAACAAAGTTGTTTGGTATGTGATAAAAATTGCTTTGGCTTTTAATTTCTGATTCATTCTCAGCGATTGAAGAACCGTGTCAGATATGCATTGATATTTTCTCGAGTAGATACATACCTACATACATATACTTATACTACATCATTTTTATTAATCTATATCTTTTATTGTGGAAGAAAGGGCGCTACACTCGGGGCGGGAATTGACATTGCGCGAAACAGGATTATTAGCTACTCGGTACCTAGGTCGGTGTCTTCGTTAGATGGTACTGAAGTTTTCTGTTTCGTTATATGTGGAATCGCCACAGTATCAAATTTGTCAATAAACAAATAATACCTATTAAGACATTGTAGGGCGCACAAGGGGCGCTCTCTAACTTTTTTTGCCGTTTTGCGGTCTCCACTTTAAGACACGTTTGCTCTGGCGTCCATCAGTACTAGGGCAGATGTGGCACGCCCGTTCAGCATTCTTTTTCTTCGAGCTATATCTTTATATTTTTTTGTTTTTCGTCGGAAGACGTTGTGAATATTATCCTTTAATGAAAACTAAAGTGTAGCTCGTCATTTCCCACCGTTGCCCACTGCGCAACTTAGGTTGTGAACCGAACTAGGTCACTTCTCGGCACCTTAGGCCATAACAGGAAGGACGCACTTGTTAGAAACATTCGTTTAGAGGCACTGCGGCAAGAGTGATAATAGAATTCGACGTAGTTTACAAAATGCTGCCCAACCTAATTGTATTTAAGTGGTGATTCTTTCTCGAAGATGTTTCTACCGCTGAATAACCTTAAGGTCAGTCACCTCAATCGGTCTGGGTACATAACCAACGAACATAACCTTAGTTTGGTCCAAGTTTACGACCGTCGAGATGCTCCATTCCGATGATCAATTTCTGAAATTACTGTAGTATTGAACATCTGATATTGCTTTCAGTATGTAATTTTTTTAAATGTTTTCTCTTTCTTGTTCCAGACAGCTTTTCGAAATATTCGAGTCTCTACCAACGCTCTCGTTAGAGAAGATGAACTTGGTGACTAAAAATGCTATCAACATATGTACTGTAGTGTATTTCACACTCGGAGTTTTCGGATACATTGCATTTAGCTCACACGATATATCTGGTGAGTATAAGGAGAGGCCTATGTCCAGCAATGGACTATTAAAGGCTGTTGATGATGATGATGATGGATACAGTGTTATACGTACAAGCCTGGATCACGCACCCTATTGTTAATACACCACGAAGTTAGGTTAACTAATGATTAATTTTGTATTTATTTCTGTTTTAGGCAACATACTAATGAGCCTTAGTCCCACCATGGCAAGTGACGTCATAAAGCTTGGGTTCGTGATGTCAGTGGCGTTTAGTTTTCCGCTCATTATCTTCCCTTGCAGAGCCAGTCTGTACTCTTTCTTGTACAAAAAGGTATAGACATTTGTTATTCTCACATATAGTAATGTAAACAGTAAGCTTATGCAAAAAAATATGCAGATTCTAACGTGTTCGTTGGTTGCTGTGATAAAAAAACAGTGGCACTCCGGGAGTGCCGACAGAAGTAAAAACTTGTTTTTTTTATTTTTATTATAACAGGTTTTTTTTTCTATTGGAAAAGTTCCGCCAGGAATATATATCTATGTTGTACGTATATACATAATATATTTTTATAATATAGATTATTATATTATCGATGTATTTCAACCAATTTATGTAGATACTTATATATAGAGGTGTCGGTAACGGTAAAATTGTCGCGAGTTTAATGTTTTTTCCTATATTAAAAAATACATTATTTTGTTTGTTCAAAAATGCCCAACGCGCCTAAAGAAGTTTTCACTTCAAAAATTACTTCGAGCGTTACTGATTCTTTGTAATGTTGTGTTAGCGACATACAAGAGTCAACCGCAATCAAATAGGCCACGTGTTTGCCACGTTGCTAGCATAAAAATAAAGTGACACCTTACACAACCAGAAGAAGAAGAAGTGTCCATTTCAATTTGTACCTTATGCAAAATGAATAAAGTTACTTTTGTAGTGTCACTAACATATAATATCACTTTGTAGGTGCACTCGTCTCACCACGACCACATAATCAACCACTCGATCCCAGAGACGACGTTCCGTTGCATCACGGTGGCGATCATCGCGGTGTCTCTTTTCGTCAGCGTTCTCATCCCGAACATCGAGCTGGTGCTGGGGCTCGTGGGGTCCACCATTGGGGTACTCATCTGTGTCGTGTTCCCCGCAGCCTGTTTCGTCCATGTCACCTATAAGAATACTAATGAAAGGCTGCTAGCGAAGGTCAGTTTATATTTAAAACTGTAATACAAGGTAGTAAAAGTACATTAGTACTCAGTAAGCCACTGTACTGTTGGTTCATTTCATTGGCCAATATTATTTGAACTTTTATAAAAAAAAGTCGTAATATTTACTGACACAGTGACACACAATTTTAGCTTTCTTTTTCTATACACATCTTTCACTTTTATACATAGACTACAAGTATATTTAAATTTTACTGTTCGGTATTTTTTTTAATTAATACTATAGAGAAAATAAATATAATATACAGATTATTGAATGAATATTTTTAACATTACTATTTTTATTTTACAATTATTAGCAATAATTTATTTTATTATCTATTGATACTAGGTTAGTACAAGGTTAATAATTTTTATTACTAATCCCAAATATTTTTCGCAGGGTATCTTATTTTTAGGTCTTATCATAATGGTTTTAGGCACGTATGCTAACTTAGAAGCCGCTGGTGAAAACAGCAAAGTAGATCGCTACGACGAGAAATACACACAGGAGAAAATCGATAAGATTGTCGAGGACTTCTTTGAAAAGCGCGACAAGGACGGTGAGGTTTTTCATTAATTTAGTGGATTTAAAGGTTCTTTCCACTTTAAGCCCCGCGTGGACCCCCTAAGGGTTCCATGGACACTCTTAATTTAAAGAGCTCGAACGGGAAGTACCTGCGATCTACAATCGAATGTATTATTAATTTAGTTGCAGTTTTTGATGGTAGTTATGTTAGTAAGGAGAGGATCGATGATATCACACTAGTTACTCATTTGATTTCACGAGCAGTTATAAATGCATTAAATGCCCATGATCATGTTCTTTTTATGCCATGTTCATGTTTTAACTTTAGTACTGCCGTAAATAATAGTTTTTTTTTAATTTGCTGGTGGTTACCATAGAGCCACTTTTACTTTATGCATAAAGAATGACCAGTCGTTTAACTATATTTATTATTATTTAATTTTTTATGCACAAATTACAACTCACTTGTACAATGGCGGACTTAATGCCACGGGCATTTTCTCCCACTCAACCTTTGGGTGGTGGGGAAATGCCTGCATATGTGTACTAGAAATAAAGTTGCATATTAATTTGCAGGAGTGTACCTAAAACAAGAACCTGTTTTACCTATTGAGATCAACAACAATATTCCTCTCAACAATGACAAGAAAAAAGACTCCGAAATACAACCACCTAACCCGGTGCCGCCTGAATCACAATCCAATGAGAAAATGGCTGCAAAGAAGGTCGAAGTACACAACTATGAAGAAAAGAAAGTGGAACCATTACCAGTTATGAAAGAAACGTTAAAAAGGAGTTCCCAAACTCATCCAAAGAATCTTAAAAATAAATTTGACTTAAAAATAAATGGAGTTGATACAACTGAACCTGAAAAGGCCGCAGAAGTTCAACCACAGTCAAATGAAGAAAAAAATGACATGTTAAAACAACAAAAACTTATTGAAACGATCAAACAACATGGCGAAGAACAGAAAGAATTGATGAAAGAACAAAAGGAGATTCTAGATGAAATAATTAAGACTAAAAAAGAGTTGGAACAAAATAAAAATGGAGCAGACACGAATGAAGCTAAGAAAATTGCTATGGAAAGTATAAAACAGATTGCAAGCATGGCTATACAAAGTATAGGTGGTGTTTCTGAAAAGCCTGTACAAATAGATGAAAAGAAAGAGGAGCGTTTAGAAAAACTGACAAATGAGGCTGTTCAAGAAATAGCGAAAAAAGCTGTGGAAACCATTGAAGCTATTAAGGAGATTAAAGAGAATCCCGCACCGCTAAAAATCGCTGATGCCAGTATACAAAATGGTCTGCCTGCAAAACTTCAAAGCAATCAGAATCCACAACAACCAGTTAATTCGCTAAATGTTAATCCACCGATAAATTTGCAAAATGATCAACATCAAATAAATTCACAAGATAATCTTAAAAATATTAAACCACGCGCGGTCAGTCCCACAAGTAATCAACAGCAGGGCGCTGCACCTGTAAATGTTCAGCGGGAAATCATTAATTCTGAAAATGTTCAACCGCAAGTGATTAATTATCCAAATATCCAACATCAAGCTGTCAACTCTCAAGTGCCACAAAACTTGAACAATCCTCAAACTTTGGCCAATATCGTTAATCCTCCGGTTTATGTCCCTCAAAATAATATACCACCTGCAAATATAGAAAAAGATAAACCAATTAACTCAAAGCCTGGACAGATACAAAATAATGCACCTATAAATCCTCAAACAAATAAAGAATCTAAAGCAGCTGGGGAAGCTGCACAATTATCTAAAGTACAAATACCTGCTCAGACACAAAATAAAGACACACTTCACTCACACTCGCCCGACGAACCACAGTCTTACAAGCAAGGCGAAGACGCACAAGTCAAAAATCCTGAAGCTAAAGTACACAAAGCTGTACCTCTACCAATAGCTATGAATGATTTATTGTCCAGTAAGCAAATACAAGAGAAGGAAGCGGTTGGTCGTCAGCTGAATGAGGATATTCAAGTTATAGTACCACAAAAAGTTGAAAGTAACGACAATATACAACCGAATGTTGTAAGACAGAAAAGAGAGGTTGTAGATTGTACTCAGAAAGTGGAACTTGAACCTAAAGATAGGGAAATATGTAACACTCTCGTCGATCGACCAAAAGAAAAAGATAGAATGCCACCTGTCGATTTACACGATATGTTACCTAAAAGCTTGGTTATGGACACCAATATGCTAAACATTGGTAGGTCACTTAAAAGTTATGAAGGAGACGAAAGGTAATACAATAAGATAATTGTTGGTTTGCCTGTGTTAAAATGCATTTACATATGAAATTCATAATCAATCGAATGTTTTAAGATTGAAGATATTTTCAATAAACATGTAATGTTTTATTAAAAATAACCTTCATTTAGAGTTCACGTCAAATTTTAAAATAAAAAATATTTAATATTTTTTTTTTTTAATTTTTTTATTTATCAAATTTTATTTTCATTCAAATTTTCTTTCTACGCTAATTTGCTGGGGTAGTAGTGTTGGATTGTTTATCAATTTCTGCCTTTAGTTGTTACGTTTCCGTTTAGTTGTAAGATTGCTTTTGAAAAATGTAAATTAAAATTTTGTGTCATGATGTTTCAAATGTGGCCATATGTAAATTTGTACAGATCCAGTTTACGATGTTATTCGACGAGGTTTTATTTGAATTATAAAAGTATTACTATTAACGTTACGTTACCAATTATAACGTAATCAAATGCAGAATGGGCGAATGTTTAAAGTTGTATATATACAAGTTTTCAACAAACTGAAGATATGCATAAACGCATTTGGGTGAGAGATATTGTACGTAATCTCTTAAATACTTAAATAATCACTGTGCATCACGATTAATATTACAAAACTTTATTGACATGGCCTTGGTCTCGTGTGATCTCATACTAAGGTACATTTATAATAATAATTATGTATAATTGTTAAGGCTAAACTTTGTATGAAATTTTGAACTTTTAAAATCTTTGTTCTTAAACGCATAACGTTAAAAATGTGATGATGAAATAACATTGACTGATTGTGTAATAAATAAAAATAATAAAGTATTTTAAATATAAATATTTGCCTTTTAATTATCTCCGAAAAAAAATCACAAATCCATTGCATTGACTTGAGTACTGTATGCCTGTTTACATTATTTTTTCTTTCTTTTCTTTTTTTAAAAGACAACTCCCATTAGGAATATATCCTGTGTCGCGGGGGACTTTACAAACATACATGAAACGACCACAAAGAACACCCAGACTTAGAACAACAATTTGTGGATCACACAGTGTCATCCCATGTGGAGATCGGACCCCTCAACTCAACTCAACTCCCATACCTAACACTTTCTTCTCCTGATTTTCCTCATCCCTCCGCATGACATGTCCATACCAAGACAACCTATTACTTCTAACTTTTCACCCAGTGGCGCTACTTTCAGACTCCCTCGTATATACTCATTCCTAACCTTGTCCATCCGAGTCACACCACACATCAATCTCAGCATTCGCATTTCGGCTACGTTCAGGCGTCTCTCATCCGTTCTCTTAATGGGCCAACTTTCAGAACCATACAGGAAGGCAGGTCTGATGATAGTTTTATAAATTTGTCCCTTCAGTGTTAAGGTGAAACTTTGGTCACAATTTTTTCCCGTTACCTGCCGCCACTTCATCCATCCCGTATTGATTCGATGCTGTACACTTCGATCAACCTCACCTTCACATTGTAAGAGGGTACTTAAAACTCTCACACCCCTTTCCTTTTCCACGCTTTAAAGGCACCCTTCTTTTATTTTAGAGCTTTCTGTAACTCATTACTCCACCACCACGTATCTCTTTCAATAATGCTTTTTCCTTTCGTTTCCCCAAATACTTCTCGCGCTCTCTTTCTCCATTTATAATTTGCCATTTCACCCCACCATCAATCCACAGACTTATCTAGTCTTGCATTCATTTCAATCATTTTTTCTACCACCTTTGCCTTAAAGTTACTTGTATACTCTTCTTTCTCTAACATTCGTCTCCTGATTTTTGGAGAAAGTCGGTTCTTCCTACTCTTAACTACTTTAAAATCTTCCATTTGACCTCCATTACCATCAATCTATGTTGTGATACTACGGGTTCCATGGGCACCACTTTGCAGTCTGACATAAACTACCTTACTTCTTTTTACGAGAAAGTAGTCGATCTGTGTACCGTGACTACTACTTTTGTATGTGATCAGATGTTCGTGACGTTTTTGGAACCATGTGTTAACTACTGCTAGGTCAAACGAAGAGGAAAACTGGAGTAGGGACTCACTATTATTGTTTCTACTTCCGAACCCCCTTTCTCCATGCACTCTTTCACAATCCTCATTCGTTGTTCTCACACGTCCATTTAAATCAAAAGTTCTTCACTTTTAGGGATACCTATCATAACCATGTCATAATTGTTCAAAATTTTTTCTTTCATCCTTGCATCCAGCTTGAAGTGCATACACGCTAACAATATTCATAATCACGCTCCCACATACTAATTTTAGTACTATTATTCCATCGTTCACTCTTTTTACATCCGTCACACAATCTTTCAAGGCACTATCCAATACTACACCCACTCGATTTCTGTTCCCATCACTTCCACAATAATAAAACTTGTACCCCTCTTCTATCTCTCTTGCTTTCGTATCCTTCAACTTTCTTGAAAGCATGCCACGTTTATTCTTCTTCTTTTCAACATATCTGCTAGCTCTCTCGCTCTTTCAGTCATAGTCCCAACATTCCAACTTGCATACCTCAACCTAACTTCTCGGGCTTGCTTCTTACGTTGCACCCGCCTCGGGTGGTGCAACAGCCCATGTCCACTTATTCGCGTAGTCGGGTGCTGCTGCCGCGCGTTGTCTATGGGGTACGCCCTAGCACTGTCGCACTCACTTTGCATCATACTCATACTGCAGAATTAATTTTATGGCCGCCCGCTTGCCTGTCGCCAACCCTCCTTGGGAATGTTGTCGTTTATACGGTAGGGAAGAAAAAAAAGGAGACATTGGGGTGGGAGGATTGGATGAGAGAGGAGAAGCACGGACTGTATATATACTGTCTGATGCCAAACATCCCCAAACGTCTTGTAGTGCCCCGGCTTCTGCCAGGTGGAGTCAAATTTCATGATAGACAATTTGGATTTACGTTGGGTAAATCGACAACTGACGCTGCTATATCGGTTAGAAAGTTTGTCACAGGGTCAAAATTTCAATACGTGCTGGCTATTTTCTTAGATATATCTGGCGCCTTCGACAACGCATGGTGGCCCATGCTGTTGCTGAAATTAAAATCAAGGGGGTGCTTTAAAAATATTTATTCCCTTATCTCTTCGTACTTTTCACAAGGTACAACTAAACTAAGACTTGGTCATCATTCTGTGTCGAAGGCGCTTACAATGGGATGTCCTTAGGGATCGGTGCTAGGTCCATACTTGTGGAATATCGGCTTCGACGATTTTCTTGCGATACCAATACCATCCGGATGTACTCTGAACGCGTATGCTGATGACGGGTTATTATTACTGGTGGAATCTGATACTAGGGCGGGGCTTGAGAGATTAGCCAATAGATGTTTGAACTTGATATCTCAATGGGGTGAACGTAATCGCTTAACTTTTGCACCCAACAAAACCTTCCAGCTACTTTTAAAAGGTAACCTCAAATCACCGCCGAGCATTAGATTTGACAATGTTACTGTAAAAAATAAAATCGCAGTGTGTTATCTAGGGTTAGTTTTAGAAAGAAACTTTTCATTTATCGAACATATTAAAATAGTTAATGAAAAGTGTAAAAAGAGTTTCTGTGCATTGACAAGGATATCAACTGCGACATGGGGTCTATCATTTAATACATTAAAGATCATATACGGAGCTACTTATTTAGGTTCTATGTGCTATGGTGCACCTGTATGGGCCGATAGGGCGACCGTAGGCGCTGTCCGTCGCAAACTGTTACAAGGCCAACGACTTGCACTGATATTTTTGTGCAAGGCATATAGGACGGTTATCACTGAGGCTTTGCCGGTGTTGGCGGGTGTCCTTCCGGTCGATCTCGAGGTGCAGAGACGTGCAGCCATGTACTATTCAAGACAAAACATGGAATGCGATTTCTTAGGCGCGCGGGATCGCGGTAAAATTACAAGATTGCTTCAACAGCAGTCCGATGTCTATAATGACCTCATAGACGAATGGCAGCAACGCTGGGACGAATTATCCAAGGGGCGCCATCTTTACCAATTTTTTCCATCTGTTCGCGAACGGTTGTCGAGGACATGGCTTGAGGTGGATCACTGTGTCGATCAATTTCTTACGGGTCATGGTAACTTTAAGAGCAAGTTGTATTCATTTAAATTAGTCGAGTCACCATTGTGTCAATGCTCAACACCTAACTCTCATTATGAACAATCTGCTCATCATATCCTCTGGGAATGTAGTCTTTGGTATAATGAACGTAATATAATGCTGAATACCTTGCAGGTGACATCTGGGGCGGTATACTATGGGGATCTTGTGTCAACTAGGGTGAATTTCCGTGCGTTTAGGCGATTCTGCCATACATATTATAGAAAGCAAATATAGCTCATGTAGGACTCGTAATATTTTGTGGCCGTGGTGCTTCTATGTTTAAAAGGGTGTATGCCTATTTTACTTCATTTTGTCTCCCGCTTTGCTAAGGAGGGAAGTGGATTTACTGTATTTCCAACTCCTCCAATTTTCTTCTGATTAATTTCGTTGCGGGTTCCAAGACAGTTTAATTTCTTCCTGGGACTTCCCGAGTGTCATAACTCGGTGTGTTCGTGGGTCACTGCTGTGGATCCTGGTGTACAGGAGTTACAGTGGTGGGCGTGTGGGTGGGATTAGTCCCAAAAAAAAGCCCCAAACTTCAATTAAGACGATGATGGCCTCGACCCGGGAATAATTTATATATATATTTATTATTCTATAGAAGTTTATTTGAAACAATATGAAATACAGGTAGTGTTTTTTCCGTTGAATTTGTAAAATCTAGAACTACCGTCGTATTTGAAAAATTCTTTATTTGCATTTAACATCACAATTTTTGAGGCAAGTTATAAATTATTCATAACGACGATAGCCAAGGGTAGTAGAAACCAATAATAATAATATTAGTGTACTCTGTGGTAGAAACCCCTTTATGCGAGGAAAAACATGGAATACGTCTAATACTACTTCAGATCTTAATAGGTTTGGAACCTTATTAAAAGAAAACAAATTTGTAATCTAGTGTTTAATTACGATATAAATGCAAAACAAAATGAAAAAGACCTTATAAATTCAACTATAAATATAAAAATAACTTAGGGGTTTGAATTATTTCTTCTTTGTATCCTTACTTTCATCTAGGGATGTTTTTTTGGACCTGAAAATAAAACACGTAGGCTGTAAAATTACTGTTTACTCTGTGTGATTATCCTTTATATATTACCGTAATAAACTAGATGGACTTTTACATCAATAAAGTGATGAATGGAATGTATAGTTACCTCTTGCCAGTGTCGGACTTGGGTCCACTGGCGTTGGAGGCGGTGGAGGAGGCGCGGCGCGTTCGTCGCGCGGGAGTGCGCGGGCTGTGTGCGCCCTCCGCCTCCGACGCCGCGGGGGACTCCGCGGGGCTCGAGCCCGAGGGCTTCTGATAACAATTATATGTTTGTCATATAGTTTTTATCTACGATATAGTGAAATAGTTTCATTTCAACCGAAACTCTATTTACTGAAAGACTCAAAAAACTCCGAACCAAGAGTGACCATAGAACGAATTAAAATGCTGACTAATATTGTATATGAAAAAATGAGTTAGTTTATATTATATTTCATCTTATATACTTTACCAGTCACGAAATCTTGTCTATACGTTGTCAAAGGTATCAGTTCAAATATAAGTTCAAATCTAATGGAGTATAGAACATGAGGACTTACGTTGACGTCGGTGCTGGTACGGCGTCCCTTGGGCGTGTGGAGTGCTTCGCAGGCGCGAGTGAACGATGCGCGACGACCTCGTGTCGCGGGAGAACTGGGACTTCCCGCTGCAAACAAATTAACAACTGTATTTCAAAAATGTTACTTTACTGTTGGATTTAAGTTCTTTGCAATATACACTTTATATGTAGGACTTTAGTTTCTTATTTCATATGCCAACTATTTGTATATTATTAACTTTATGAAACATAATTATTAAAAAATGTATTTTAATGGTATTATTCATATCAAAACCAATAAAAATTAAGGTCGAAATGCGACCACCCGATATTCTCCAGTAATAATTAATCGGTACTAAGTATGCCTTAATTTGTCCACTGCTGGACATAGGCCTCTCTTTAGAAAGGAGGTTTTGGCCTACTATAACACGCTGGCCAGACGGGTTGGTATAGGGTTTGTTTCAAGTTTTCCTTCTCTTTGCAGTGCTGTGTTTCTGCGTAATTTGCTCCCTTAGTCGGCTCTTACGACACCCACGGATGAATAGGAGTGATGACACTACGTATTCTTAATCCGTCACTACACGGAGTATGCTTTAGTTGATTGAATATACATTATTTTTGTGAACCTACACAATAGAAAAAACTATTTATTTTTTAAAGTAAACCTCGTTGACACATTTTGTAAAGAACGATATTAAGACTTAAACCAATAAAATTATGGCTAAATTTTTCCTGTGTTAATTTAAGAAGAATAAGCCAGATTTATATTCTTTGATTATATTTTTAATGAATCATAAACATGAATAAACAATATATGATCATAAATTTTATCGCAATTTAGTAGGACAACTGTATCTCAATTACCTATGTCTATAGAAACACGTCTGTTAATTTTGGCTGCCTTTGGTGTGGATCTGCCTTCTGAAGCAGCTCGAGCGAGGTGTGCTGGAATTGTTATCACATTACAATTAGATTTTTATGAAAATCAAAGATCGGACACAATCTCTTTTTTTTCCGAAGAGTTATTGGCAACAAGTTAGATTTTATTTGATTGATGCAACTTAAGAGAGATAAGGGTTTTTGGGTGAAGGGTTGAAAAGAGTTATTTAGTGAGTTTATATTACTTTTTGTCTCAATATTCTGCATACGATTTACTCTATATTTACAGCGGTGGGAGAGGTCGATATTATGGTTGTAATTTCAGTCTACTCAGACTAGCCCACTTAGTCTTTTAACTTGGTTTAATTTTGATTCTATTTTTATTTTATTCTAACTAAGATGAGTGTATTTACAGGTATGAAAAATGTAAAACTTGCAAGAATAAGCTAACAAAGAATATAAAAATAAAATCTACGGTTTTAAACGGCAGTTCTAAATAATATTACAGACAAGGTCAGGATATTTAATATTTTTGGAAGCAACATTACTGTACTTACATCTCCGCTGTTTGCTGGCGTCTGAAGCTAGAGATTCAGGCGACAAGTCGGTCTGTAGCTCGTCCACGTCCGGAGAACCTAATTATTAGCGTTCAACAAGCAAGTTCAGACATTAGAGCGCATGCAAAGGAATGAAGAAGTAGAAAGTAAATATTAATTTAAGATTCCTTTACATATATACATATTAACAGTTAGAGATTTAAAAGAAAAAAGGCTCAGTCAAGTCTAAACTACCGATATTTTGTTACAAATTGATTTATGGAGTGCATGTTCTGAACATGTCCAATAAGGATGAAAGTAGAAATGGATACAGCGAGCCATGCGTGGTGCATTGTTAAAACATCACACTAGCATATGCTATATTTTTTTATAAAAACATAATGCTTTTAGGATTTGACGTCATTGTCTTAAAACAATAAATAAAATATACATACAACAAATAGAAAATAAGCCCATATTTGGAATTTCATATAACTTTCGGAAAAAGGAAGATTAGACAAGAGTAGGAGCTGATTGTTGATGATTTAGAACAATTCTTGAGCCATTTTATAAAATAAAGACATACAATCTGTATGTGGCCACCGAACGCCAAAAGAAAAAGAATATTAAAAAAATAATGAAGCTTAAAAAAAGGAAAAAAATACTGATTATCTTAGGGTATTACAAAATAATATGGTGCGTAACTAGAGGACTACGCTGGGGTAAGAAGTTTAGCGAGCATAGTTTATTAGAGCAAAATGAGTACAAAGTGTCCATTCTCAACTCGTAGCAGTAGAATTACCTTCAAAGTCAGTCTTGTTCAGCAGGCTCATCCGGTCCATCGGTTGTACGTCGAAGGCAGGCGTGACGTCGCTGTCATCGTCGTCGGAGGAGGCGGCCGCGCGTGAAGTCCGAGAGGTTCTAGAGGTGCGGGACGCGGTGCTGGTGCGACGACGGGGAGTGGGGGGAGCTTCCATACATGATTCTAGCATTGATTTCTGATTTCGGGTCAGTCTGTGGACGAGAGGTTAATATAGAATAGCTAACTTTGAGTTAAAAACGACAGCACCAAAATACCAGACGTTCATACAATATTCGTCATAAATATTCCACAATATATTTTTCTTTCGGTACTCAAAATTGTAACTGTAAGCGATAGAAGTAGTTACTAAGTTCATGGGCAGAATCAAAAAGACAATTAAGACCTAGTGTAAGTAAGGACATCCAGTAAAAAGGATTGCAGCTGCCTATTGAGGCCCTATTGGTGTTAAGTTACTAAATCGAAACATAGATAAACATACTAAGTATTTTGTTAAAGAAGATAACAAATCTTAATCATTATAAAATATTTCTGAACTTTAAATCACTTGTGTCCGATTATAAATACAAAAAAGGAAAAGTTTTGGAAATACTTAAAAAGTGTATGCATTTCATTTTAAGCGAAAGTTTTTAGAAAAATAACTATATTAGGTATCAAATATTTTCACAATTTAGAAACATTCATCATCTTTTTCCTGCTCTTATTACTCAAGATTGACTGATATGTTTTGCTTTCATAAAATCTGTCAGCTCTGCACAATAAAAAAACACAAAACAATACACAAAAGATAACACTTACCTTCTTGAAGTGGAATATTCGTTTACAGCTTGACTAGTATCCACCTTCTCTTCTGAGATAACTTCAGGTATCACAGACAACTCTGGCTTACTTGAAAGCACGGTCTTCTTTCCCTTTCTGCTTTGTTTATCATCTTCACTCAACCGACTTTTGTTGGATACAACAGAACTCTCCGACGCGACACTTTCGTTATCATCTATATTCTTACTTCTAGTCCGAGTAGATCGTCTCCTAGGAGTTAACAACTCTTCTTTAGATTCGTCTAAGAGTTTTGAATCATCTTTTTCTGACATTTCTCTGGATACTCTTCTAGTAATAATTTTTCTGACTTCAGCACTTGTGGGAGTTTTAGCTCTGCGTCTTGGAGTACCTACTTCTATAGTTTTATCATTCTCCGGCGTTGTCTGTTCTAAGTCAATCGATTTAGCTGAAGCATTTGATTGTGTTCGTTTCCTATTGATGGGTGTTTCTATTTGTATTTCTATCTCAGGTTCGACAGATTTGTTGGACGACGTAGATTTAACCCGTTTACGAGACCGTGCAGGTTTTAATGTTTCTTTATCATGAACTGTTTCCTCTTTTTCAGAACCCTCCTGCATTGCATCTTTTGTAGAGGACTCTGGAATTATTTGTTCTTTATCAGAAACTGCTATGGGCTTCTCTTCTGGGATTGTTTTAGAAGCTTCTGTAAGTTTTTCTTCTAGATTCTCTGTTACCTGAGAATGCACCTTTGTTTCTTCAATTCCTTTAATTTCACCATCTACTGTCTCGTAAGATGTAACTTCAGAACCCTGATTAGTTGCTGGAGGAAGACTAGTTATGTCATCCTGTTTGGGAACTTCTGTAGGTAGTGTATGTGTTGTTACAATATTATTCTTTTCGCCCGATCCCACTTTTTCTTCTACTGGCGATGTTGTTTTCTCATCTCTCGGTTCAGTGGGTACTTCAACTTCCATAGCATTTTCAGATTCTATAGACAGATAATACATTTTTAAAACAATTTACATACATACGTGAATTTCAGTATTTTTATTTGTTATCCATTAATTCTATCCAGATACTCTTTATAACTAATGTTTAAAGTCATTTCTTGGAACTACTAGAATTACCGTAATTGTTTCTCAGTACATAAACATTCAAAAGTGTTATTTCAATGACTCGAAGTAAATAATGGGATAAGAGTTTAGAACGCTTAATTCGCTTTTAAGGATTTGACAAGTCATGAAAAAACTGAAAAAAATATCTTAACAAAAGAAATGGCAAATTACAATATTTTCTATATATTAATATTTAATTTACATTATTTATTATATAAACACCTTACCTTGTTCTTGTGGTTCCTCTTGAATTTCTTTCGGCTGCTCCTGGTTTTCCGTACCAGCATTTACTTTATCACTTCCATCGGAATAGTTTAAGTTGATATCAGACTTATCAGATTCAATTCCTGAATTATCATCAGTCAGAAGAGAATAATTAGGTTGATTTGACGGGTCAGCAGCGCTTTCAACGAAAGGTTGTGGGATATTTTCAGTCTGTATGACATCCGTGATTGAAGGCTGTTGTTCTACTATTTCCATAGGACGTTCGCGTTCCGCAGTTTCATCGTTTGCTTTAGAATCTTTAGTTTCAGAAGAATGCTCATCGATTTCAAGTCGGCCCGAACTCGAGTTAGATTCGTCTGTATCTAAGATTGATATGATTTCTTCTTTTTCCTCATTTTCTATGCTGGGTGATGATACCTAATAGAAAAATTAAATATTTTATGTACGCTGTTTTTCGATACTTGGTTATTTAAAACAATAAAAAGGCTTAAGGAACTTTTAATATTAAACTACATAAACAACAAAGAGTTGAGAGTTATGATTTTTTCCTGGATACTATTAAATTGATAATAGTGGATTCAGGTAAGTAAAATCAATTGTAACATGTTTATTTTGTTAACTGATAACTGATAAAATCAGAAAAACTTACGCTGTCAAATTTCAAAGTTATAAAATATGCTCTCACCTGTCCAGAACTTTCACTTTCTTCCCCAGATTCATCATCGATTTCCTCGTCTTCTGATGTCTCTGATGCCGCATTTTCTTCATCAGACATATCACCTTCAATCTCATGGATTTCCCTTTCGATTTCTACTATCTTCTCTTTTTCCTTTCGTATAACAGCTGCTGAAGTTGAAAGCTCATCCTTTTTTTCTTGCTGAATATCTAAATCACTGTCATTTGTGATCAAACTTGAACAATCCTGTATTTTAGAACCAACTTTAGATGTTTCTGCTATGCTACTTTGATCGCTCTGTAACACAGACTTATCATAATCACTTTGAATCGTGTGTACAAAAGCAGCAAAAGGTTTTGATAGGTTTTCTTCTCGTTTGTCCTGTTCTTCTTGCATGCTGGAAGTTTCAGCTACACTGCTTTCGTACGAATGCAAGACCGATCGATTAAATTCAGTTTCATTCAAACTGAAAGCGGGTAATGTTTGTAAAGCGCTAGATTCTTTATACACAATTTTCTCTTTTTGAACACTTTTGTATGTTTCTGATGTTTCAGTTACACTACTTTCGACGCTGTGCAGCACTGATTTCTCTATGCGAGTTTCTTGCGAAGTAGTGAACACGGGCAGAGGCTTGAAGTCAAGTTCTACCGTACTTTTGTCAGATTTTAAGTCTTTCTCTATATTTTCGGATATGGTAGAATCAGTTGAACTTTGTAAGACTGATTTATTGACTATGGGTGATAAGGTAACATCCATTAGACTAGGAACTGGTTTCAAAGCTTTCATTGGAGTGCATTCTATAGAAACCTCTTCAGAATTTGCCGTATCCGTCTCCATTTTATCCACTTGCTTCGTTTTGGCGAAAGTATTTGCTTCTAAAACAAGACGTGATAATGATTTTTTGCCGCGCGCTGAATTCTCAACCTTTGACGCAATTAATTTTTCTGGTGTTTTAGAACGACTCCTGGAATTTTAAACATATACGTTTACTAATTTATCATAGTAATCAAGATAATTAAAATTTTGTTAGTCAAAATGTACTACATATCTCTAGTTTTCCAGAGTCGTAGAGATAATCTAAATTATCATCAAATCTTAAAACGAAAAATCGAATGGCACAGACAGTGCAAGTAGTATTATAATATAAGAATAATATTAAAAATGACTGTATTATTAAAGCGATGAACTTGTCACCTTCTAATTATATTTTTTTAAGGTTTTTATAGAAGCCAGTCAGTTTTAGGGTCACTCTTCATTGGGTTCTATAAGCATTTGTAGATACATTACTCATACAATTTTGTGACACTGGTATGTATGACATTGGTATGTATATAATAGAAGAAGCATCACTTAATTTTTCATAGACTAAGAACGTCTCTTGCTGTCATCGTTCAATCAATAGTTTATACTCTGTGGGACAAAGAATTCAACTCTTTTGTATAGCTACATTTAAGGAGATATTATGTAGATTTTCTTAAAAGTTTGACATGACATAGTCTACTCTTACTCTACATGCAATGTTTTTTTTTTCTTTCATTTTTTTTTAAAGACGACTCCCGCGCTAGGAATACATCCAATGTCGTGGGGAACTTTACAAATATTCATGTGACGGACATATAGAACACCCAGGCTCAGAACAACAACAATTTATGGATCACACAAAGGGTTGCCCCATGTGGGGGATCGAATCCACAACACTCAGCGCAGTTTGGAAACGAAGCGAGGCGACCGCTTAAACCGCTACGCCATCTGATTAGTCAATTTGAAATGAAAAGTCTAATGATTAGTCAATTTCGACTATATCTGTTACCTTAGACTACGTGGGCTTGATTTAACGGGTTCTTGTACAATTTCTACTTCTGGAGTACAAGATCGGCTCCTATCAAAAGCAGAACAATATTAAAACAAATCATTTAATGGCAGTTACTATATTTATTTACTAAAGATCAAATATATAAATCTACAGTTTAATAGATTGATGATATTACCTTAAACTCCGCCTACTACTCGGTGATGGTGATGAGTCAGGGCTAAACGCCTTGGTAGGTGATTCTGATATAACCTCAAGCTTAGGAGATTCGATCAAAGCTTTGTCAATACGTTCAGGGGTTCGGGATCTGCTTCTGTTGAGTGAACAGATTAATAGTTTTATCCAGATATCTTTGTTATTGTAAGATATATGTAGTTATTCTGCTCCTTGCGAGTGATACTGTATCACTGATACTACGGCCTCACAGAAAACCGGTGTTAATCAATACCTCCGAGTGAGTTAAGTTACCTGTAAGTTTAAGATGCTAGGGTCGCATACCAGTCTTGTGACAGGATAGGCCATAGGATGGGGACCAGCATTGTAAGACGATATATATAATATTTTGAAATGTGTGTTGTAGCTGTAAATCTAAATTAACTCGTAAACTCTTAAATATAATCTATTTTGATAAATAAGAAACAATTTACAGTCCACTTCCACACGATGAAAACGATATTAAATGAAAGGCATGTTTTATTCTTGTGCGATCGCTAGGTTCAATGTGTTGTTTCGATTATATTTACGAGTTTCGAAAGAAGAAACATTATCTTATAAAAACGACTTTCGAAAGAAGAAACATTCTCTTATAGAAACGATTTTCTTAGCAACAAATATTATTCTTATTTCGAAACTTGTTTCGAAACTCGGTTTCGTAGGCGGCCGAAGGGGTACGATGTAAGTAGTCAAACGTTAAATTAGTTAAAAGTTTTTCGAGTTATTTTATTTTTAATTTCACGGCAAACAATGATATATAAGTGATTTATGATATTTGATTTTAAGAAACATGAAGTTTATTTTTTGGAAATTAAAAACTGCGAACGGAGCTAAAGTACCTTAGTTGTCTCGGCACGCTCATTGTGGTCTTCGCAGGATGAGGTTCGGATTCCACCTCTTGCTTCGGTTGTTCAGGTATAGGTGCTAAGGGCGACTGACGTGGACTTAGCTCGGGTGTACGAGACCTACTCCTGTAATACGTGTATTAAGTTTACTTTGATTGTTTTTCAGACCAATATATATTTTCGAGTTTTGTTTATGTTTAAATATATACTTCGCTTCAAATTGTTCAACTTGGTATACTAAGACGAACAGAGTGTAGACAACGAATTAATACCATTATAAGGAAAGGCTACTCTGTATTATATTTTAACCTATGAATGAAATGTATGCTTACCTAGTAGACCCCATATTCCGCAAAACTGGTGAATCGAGTCGCTCAGGTGTACCGGGACGGCTTTTAGTAACCAACGGGGTACTTTCCCCGGTGACTCTGATGCTCCGTCTCCCTTTAGGCGTCTTAGGTACTTCTATAGACGTCTCCTTCACGCTTGTTACAGTAGTATCCTTTAACTCTGCCACACTTGGTGATTCTTCAGTTGTTTGGCGTAGTTTGTCTCCGGTGTATCGCGGATTTATGAGGGTAACTGGTATATCGGCGATACTTTCTACCGAGGTGTTCGGGTCGTCTGATAAACTGCTGTTCATTGAGACTGATAGCGAACGCCTGTAAGATTATAATTTATTCAATTTCGAAAGTAAACTTCAGAAATCTATAATTCGTTAATATAATGAAAAAAAAAATGTTTTGTAATAAGATTTTAGGTAATTTTAAAGAGATTTGGTAGTCTAACAGATATTTTCAGAGGTAAACACTTTTAAACAACCAAGAAACTATTCAGCATTGTTTGTGCTGATTTTAAGCAAGGTTATGATGATAAAGGATGATGATGATATTAATTATAAAGACAATTCCTTCAGCTCTGTGCAAGTATCACATAAGTAAGTTACCTGGCTCGAACATTGTCTTTCAGCACCTTCCTAGACGCCACTGTCTCTTCTGTGGCTAATTTCTTTGGTGGTGACTCTAGCGGATGACTTTCAGTCTGAAATTTTCATTCATTATACAATATAAAAAAAATTACTTGGAAAGGCAAAAAACGCAGACTATATATATTGATGATTACTGATGATTACATTTGGGACAGAAATTGTAAGTCAATCTGAGTCATTATCATCAACAGCCTTTAATAGTGCACTGCTGGACAAAGGCAAAGCCTTTAGAAATATGGTTTTGGCTTACTATACCACGCTGGACCGACAGATTGGGATAAGGTTTGTTTCAAGTTTTCTTTTTCTCTGCAGTACTGTTGTCGTGCTGTTTGCTCCCTTAGGCAGCTCTTAAGACACCCACGTGATGAATAGGGGTGGGACACAATTTGAGTATAAGCGTTTATTTCTAATTGACTTGCAACATCTTTTGGAAGTTGTAATGTTGAACAACACTTACTCTAGAAATTACATACCTTTTTAACTTAATAACTATCCTACACATATACATGTTAACTTTTTCACTTTATCACGCGAGCGAAACCGCAGGCGAAACCTAGTATTCAGATCATCCCATTATAAATCTAGGAACAGAAACATATTAAAGCTAGTAAATACTAACCATAGGATGTGACGCAGTGGTTACGAAGCTATCCGTCGACATGTCCATTTCCTTCTCTATGGAAGCAAATCTTTCTCTCTCCTGCACACTTGTGGCCACTCGGACTGGTGAAGTGGGAGACGGTGATGGTCCCAGCTCGGTAGGAGTAGGTATCGTGAAACGTAGTTGCCTGTCATTTTAAATAAATCTATACGTCACAAACACAATAAAAATTATAAACTAATGTTTGAATTCCTAAGTAGTAATTGTTTATAGCTTAGAAGTCTACACTTAGCACTGCAAACTTACATTGTAAATAGTTGGGACACTAACCCATTCCCGTTAAGAAAATAGTGACGCATCGATCAAGCCCCGCACTGTGACCAATCAGGTACCAAATTTAAACAACAATGTAGATATACAGTCAACTACAGTTATGTGTAATAATAGATAACAGGATGTTTATTTTTCAAAGGCATTTAAATTAATATCAATTTTTGGATACAGAAGCTAACCACGTTTGAGATGGTCATTAAATTGCATAGCCTAGATATTCATTGAGATTCTTTTTAGAGAATTAAAAAGAAACATGTATACTTGTTAGCAGAGTCGCTGTAGTGTGTGTGGTTGCTGGCTGTCTCCAACAACTCGTCCTCGCTGTCGTTCAAATATCGCGAGTCCACCGGTGACGCTGCATCTCTCTCTGACGCCTCCGCTCTCCTTATCTGTAACAGAAATCAGTCTAAGTATAAAGAATGTCACATCATATCGACAAAACCGTAAAGCTCGCACTGGCAAAAAGTTATCAGATCTCAGGTAGAGCTTAGTTTCGAACTCTTTAAGCTCTAAGTTCACAAACTCTACACCTTGGTCAAAATGGCTCGGCCGTTATGACTGTTTACTATTTTGTCATCACCATGACAAAACAGTGAACTGACCTTGAGTATGCTGTGGGGTGTCCCGGCGCCCTGGCGGTGCGGGTAGGGCGGCGCGTGCACGTCGGGCACGTCCAGCAGCGCCGCCAGCGCCGCGCTCAGGGCGGGGGCGCCCCCCCGCGCCGCGCCGCGCGCCTCCAGCCGCGCGCGCTTCGGCGGGCTCGACTCGCCGCACGACTGTTGCGACCGAGATAACATGCTGAAATCATTCATTACCGTGAGACGACGGATATTACAGACCCACTTTTTGATGTGAGAACATCTTTAGACGCGTTGAGCATTTTTAAACAAACGAAAGAATGTATTTTATGGGAAAAAACCACCTCGCGACACTGTTACCGTTACCGACACCTCTGTATATAGGTTTTCGCTTCTGTCGGCACTCCCGGAATGCCACTTTTTTTTTAACACCACTTGACCTATTTGTAGCCTAACCCTCCCCAATCTATACTCCTCTTCTATTATTATCATATTTCTAACTTTTCCTTAAATATCTGTACGAACACATCCTTACCGTTTCAATAGTTATAGTTTTATGCTGACATCGACGCGCAACAATTTATAACATATTTGTTGTAAGTCTATGTTTTCTCCTTCTATTAAATACACTTATTATTTTCTGTAAACGTTTATCTTTCTTTAGCATACCGTACAATATTGAATTCTCAATTTTCCCTTCTTATTCCTAAAGTGCCCGGTTGACAGCTATAGACTTAACCCCTATTACGTGATTGTAATTAAAATTATGGTTGACAAAATGTAAACCTACCCACCCCTTTGCGGATATAGTGAAGTATATTAAAGTTATAAATTACCTCCGTGTCCTGTTCAGCTTGGGTGTGCAAATGAACGGTGTTTCCTCGATGTTGAGCGCGCGCTTAATGCCGCGACGCATCTTTGGTTTGTTTATCCACGTTTCACTTGCGTTTTCTATGGTGTCCTATAAGTGAAACACAAATAGTTCAATACTATGTGCAAACATTTTATAAAAAAGAAACAAATTTGACAAATATTACCCTTCTTGTTTGCAACAAGGAAATAAAAATTGCAACTCAAAAACTAAGCATTATTCAATAAAGAATGCAGAACTTAAGGACAGTCATGACAGCAAAAAAATATAATTACAGAAATTATTAACTTTATCCTTTTTAAAGCTCGTTATGAAGACGATGTAACAGATAATATTTAACAGGAACACCCCCTATTTCCACTGAGTTCAGTTAATAATAAATAAAATATAATAATCTTCAAAGTATTACACAGCACACAAACAAACACAGCTTGTTAACACTATAGTGTATCGTGAGATCATTAATTTAGTATCTTAGTTTTGATAAAATTCATTTAAGCACTTTAGCAAATTAATGAAAAATATATGGACAACATTTTATCAACATCTACACATGTGATCGTTCCTCCAAATAACCTTAACTATTATTCGTTATTCAAGTGTAACCAACGACGGATTTCACGAGTGGAACAACGTAATTCAGTGAAAAATAGTTTAAAAAAGTAGTACAGCGCCTAAAATGAGGGCGTATCTATGGCGAATATGTAAATAGTTTGATATTAAAACATTGCCTATGTATTTGGGTTATCGTAAATAGTTTACGAGCCAGCCCAATAAAATGTTTTGTTTAGCGAAAGCTATTCGCGTTCGTGAAACTCTAGAAAGTAAAATTAGATTCGTTAAAATGAACTTGTTGTGTACAAAAAATATGTGTTACGTGTAGCACATTCGACGACCTCTGTGGAGCGTCAGTAGAATATTCGTTTCTAGGTTTGAAGTGTTCGTGTTCTGTGCTTGGTCAGTGCAAATAATGCTAATATTCATACGTACAATATGTGATGTATCTATTCATAAAAAATGTATTTTAGTCTGTCTACACGTGTTTTCATTTTCAAATTATTGAATATTTTAAAATGAAGTCATTTCTTTCTAACACGTTTTCAACGAATTTGACTACTTAATATTTGATTGGCATTCTTAATGGTTATAGGCAAAAAGTGCAAATAATAATAATAATGACGCAGGTCCTCTCCGGGCACGGATGCTTCGAGAAGTACCTGCACTTGGTCGCTAGGAGGGAATTGGGTTGGTTTGACCGGCTGCACCGGGTGCTTATTGCAGTCATCGGTGGGGACCTCTCACTACCGGCCGTCATACGCTCTATGGCCGGTAGTGACAGATGTTGCATCGCGGTCGCATCCTTTTGCGAGGACCTCATCTGGCGGCGGAGAGGGCCCGGGAGGACATCCTCCCCTCGGACCCAATTCGTCGCTAGTGACCCGGGCGGCGGAGGCGCGCTTACCACCGCCTCATGACGGCGTGTAGCCACGGGTGTACGCGAATTGTTATCCCCTACTCCGGAAAAGAATGTCTTAATAATAGCAGTTCCCGGATCCCTCCTATTACAAGCGCAGAGTGGCACACAGTGTGGTTTTAGTCGGTCCGATTCTGACACACCACCCCGCCGCAAACCCCGGTGTGGTAAAGGCCCGAGGGGGTTTCCACACGTAAAAAAAGGGGCCGGTGCAGAAGACAGTCCTCCTTGACACGGCCCGTATAGACATTGACACCACAGGTGTCTTGGTCCCTGTACCCGATGTCGGTGGTCTACTATTTTTTATATTTTTAAATACGTATTTTTTTATAATTATTTAACTGATACATTTTTTTTTGAAAATCAATTCATATTATACATAGAAACACCCAGACTAAATCAAACATTTAATGTTCATGCACACAAATGTTTGACTTGAGTGGGAATCGAACCCGCAACCTTTGGAATAGCAGTCCCTTACACAAACCATCGGCAAATAGCAACTATGGTTATTCAGTGTTATAAATTTAAAAATAATGTAAACACGATTACATAAAACTGCACATGGCCCGGTAAATATATATGTTAATCGTCTAATGCTCCTTAGGAGACGGCTGCCAATAACCGTTTATAATATATACTTTTTAAATATTTTGTTTTTTTTTGTATGCATAGTAGTAATTTTTATTGTGTACTTACTGAGTGGAAATTAAACACAGGGGAAAGGAGTTTATACATTTATATACAAAGTATATATAACATACAGTTATATACAAAGGCGAAAAAATATATTCCAAAGAACGAAACAATGATTATTTAAAATGTATACAGGTATTTGCGCTTAGTCGTATTTTAATAGGTTGTAATAGAAGGTGGCAAATAGATTTTTTGAAATAATTCTAAATTAACTTACTTGAATAAAAGATGACTTGTAGGTGAAGGTCTTTTTCGGAGATATAGGCTTCACATAAACAGACATCGGTCTTGGCATTATAACTGAAAAAGAAAATAGCCGAAGTTTAAGTGCTTCAATAACTTTGTTGTAGTTTTTGATTGCGATTTCGCTGGTATTCATATAAATGTCATCTACTACGACTGTTTTACATACTTAACTTCAAGAGTGAAACCTTTCCTGAAAATATTCTTTGTTTTTTGTACAGTTTATGAAAAATTTCTTGATAATGGGTTAAAGCGTAGAAGATTAAAATGTAATTTAATCATAGCAAATATGATTAAGTTTTTTATATGGTATAGGTGGCAAACACGAGCAGAAGGGGCACCTAATGGTAAGTGAATACCGCTGTTCAAAGAGCGCATCTCTTTAACCCCCCCCCCCCCCCTTCCCATAAGTGGGTGGGCTCCGATTACCTCAGTGAGTCGTTAAGCAGTGCACATACCGTGTGGCACGTCGCGCAGGTGTGCGGCGCGGCTGGCCACGGCGCAGGTGATGGCGGGCAGCGCGCCGCACACCACGTCCACGAGCGCGTCCCGCGCGTTGTCCCTGTCCGCCATGTCGAACAGCGACTCGTACGACTTACACACCTCCGCGCCACGAGGCTTGCCGTGCTTCAGCTTGTTGTTGTACCTTTCCGCTTCTAAATACCTGTTCATAAACAATTATAATTCATTATTTCTAAATAAACCCTGTTCTGTGTTATGCAGCAATTATTATTTTTCATCATCATCATCATCGACAGCCTTTAACAGTCCACTGCTAAACATAAGTATCTCCTAAGAAAGGAGGTTTTGGCCTACTATACCACACTGGCCAGACGGGTTGACATAGGGTTTGTTTCAAGTTTTCCTTGTCTTCGCAGTGCTATTGTCCTGCGTAGTTTGCACCCTTAGTCGGCCCATTGACGGGATGAGTAGAGGTGGTGACACTGCATGTTCTTAATCTATCATCACATGGACTGTTATTATTTTTACTTCAAATCTATAAATTAAATTTATCATATTTATCTGTAACATCATGCTTTGATATATATTTGTTGTTTAAACATTCGGCAAATGAAACAAAAAAGTATTATCAGAGTTGAAATCTTTCGATCCTACATTATGTTATTAATTAATGTCTTCACAGAGAAATCTTTACAAAAAAAGCTCAAATCAATAACCTCTGTCTATAATCTTATCACAAACACTAAAATATATAGGTGATTAACATCGACACTTACCGAGAATTCTGTAAATAGTACATTACTAGTATATCCGAGGTGTTGGGATCATTGCAGTCTTCTAAATATTTTATGAACACCTCCTCTTCAAACGGCAACAATGTTGCTTGTAATATTTTTGCGAGATTCCCCGTGTTGCGACAACCTGATAAAAATATAATGTTGTGTGGTGTCACTATATAAAGCTAAATCCTTCTTTCATGCTTTTACTTTAGTAAAAATACTTCACTTATGCAAGTGACTTTAAATATCTTTGTACATTTTTGTCGTGAAGAAAAACTAATGAACTTTAAACATCGTCCATCTATATAAAAAAGACAATTATATAAATATTAATAAAAAAAAAACAACTGGGACCGAGTTACTAAGTGATTGATAGTACTATAAAATTAAAAGCACACATACCTTTGTAAAAGAAATTTAGTAATTGTGTTTTATCCTCCACATTGGCGGTATTCTGTACACATATCCTTATAACATCTAACGCTTCAAACACCAGTCCTCTAGCCAAGTACAGGTTACAACATGGCTGCCAGTCTTCTAACTTGTCGTAGTCGTTCACCCTTTAATAAGAACAGATATTTAATATGGGCAATAATTCGGAACAAAGGATTATTTTTTATGAATATAAATGCTGTCTGACATCATCACACAAAAAGATATTAAATAAAAAACAGCATCTATATTACTGAGTATGGGGATGCTGTTTTTTATTTAATATCTTTTTGTGTGCATGTATTTATTTCAAGTCTTGTTATATTTACTTTGGAACTTTTATTGAGGCACTGGTGCAATTAGCATCTATTCACTAATTTCTACACCACTGAGGTAGACTGGCACAGAATGCCCATGGCATTTAGTCCACCTTTGTACATTTTTGTGCATAAAGCAATAAATAAAATATATAAAAATCAAAACGGTTTTTCAAATTATTCATTTTATTACATGTATACTTACTACATACATTTGATGAATGAAAGGTTTTTTTACACATTATTTCAGTCTAAAGTGACTGTAATTTTGATGTATGATGACATGAGGTATCAAGATGAGATATATTTCGGAAAAATGGAGAAAACTGGTAGTGATTTTTTTAATGACATTGGAATAAAGTAATTGATCTCTGGGCCATATCCAGAAGCGTCGTCTTTCGGCTGAGAAGAATAATGGAACTTTTTTGAATTAAATATATATTTCATCTGCATTATTTAACCCTTCTGCGAGATCCATAGGTCTGATACGTATACTATGTAATTTCATGTCACAGTCACACACTACAGTATACCTACGTCTGAGGTCCAAGTGCGACTTTATTTCACGTCTACACGATCGCGTTCGGCGCTACGATTGACCCGCAATAAAATCTTCACCAATCGACCTTCATAAATCGTAGTCGATGTGAAATAAACTTGCATTAGGCTTTCTGAATGCATTACTGCATAAAACTATATATACTGCATAAAAATTGGCAAAAGTTGTAGTAACAATAGTCCCTCCTGGGGAAGTGATAGTTAATATTTGCATACCGCACCTCAAAGAAGAGAGGGCGGGCTCCCCGGGCTTGGGCCGCGCGGCCAGTAGCGGCGCGGGCTTGCGCACGTGCAGGTACTGCAGCGCCGCCTGCGTCTTCTTCTGCGCCAGCAGCGTCGACAGCACCACGTTGTGCTGCCACTCCGACAGCGTGTTGCCTGTCAGGCACTGCAACTGGTCCAGCGCGAACTGACCGACTATCTGTTTTACTACTTTTCAAGGTAACGCATAGCCATCACGCTTAGCCATCAACAAATATAATTTAATATAAGAAATTTTCGATTTTAATACCGGGGTCTAAATAAGAAATAAACTAGTAATCTATTTTGAATTGTATAGGAATTTTGTAGTACTATTACTACACACTCATAACATTTTGTGGCCGTGATGCTTTCCTGTTAAAAGGATGGATGCATTTATTTACTTCATTTTGTGTCCCGCTTTGCTAAACGGTGGAAATGGATTTATTACTTTTCTAACTTGTCCAATTTTCTTCTGATTAATTTCGTTGCGAGTACCAAAACAGTTTTTTTTTTCCTGGACTTCTCGAGTGTCATAACTCGGTGTCTAGTAGATCACTGCTGACTATCCTGGTGTACAATTGTTTCAATATCCTTATAGGGAAAAATAAACTTTGACGACATAAACGTAGACACGACGAACTACGGAGTAACCACTTATCCTGCATCGCGCAATAAAAACTCTCGTGCTAATAAGGTCATAGGCTATGTAACATCACGCTACGACTCTTAGGAAAAGAGCAGGCTCATAAACATTATAAACGACATCTGTTAGTTCAATACGGTAATGCCACATTTCCTCAAACTTAATCCTAAAACTTTAGAAATACTGTAACCAGACTAGGTTCAGCAAAATTTTGTTGGTAATGTTATATTTAACATTACTTACATCAAAGTCCCTGTGGTCGAGATGCCAAAATGCCTGCGTCGCTTTGATTGCTGTGTTGCTCAAACCAAACATGGTTGGAAATTGCATCAATCTACGGATCACAGCCTCGTACCTAACAATAATAAAAATCTGATTAAATTAAGAATTTTTGAGGCACATATAAGTCTATTTTGAGATAACTTTGAGGTACCTCTTACCTTGTTTTTAATAAACTAATCCAAAACCTCTTAATTTTATTTAAGTTTACAATTCAGTTTGAATCTAAGTTGAATTCTACAAAACCAATTGTGATATCTGTTTTTATGTAAGTATAATAAAATCGTGTAACCGAAAAGTATTCATTATAAAAATACAATAAAGGCAGGAATAATTTAAAAAAAACACATAATTTTTTAAATATGTAGGTCGCGCACCTGTCTCGTTCGGTATTAGGATGATTATTACATGCATGCACGTAAATAATGTAGTATTTAGTTTTATAAATATCGATACACATACACAAGCAACATTTCGTAATATAATGTAATCCATACCTGATTTCATCGTACACCATAGAGTAATCGACGAGCAGATAGAGTACCAGTGAGTGTTTATGCTCCTCCGCGATGTCACACAGCAAGTAGAGCCGCAGCAGGGAGTATAGCGACGGTGGTGGATACAGACCCTTGCATTCACTGCCTCCTTTTATCCATAACCTGTTTGTTTTTGAAAGTCCAATATTTATATAAAAATACTATAGTGAAAGATATGCCACTGCTGAGACCTCGATATTTTAGGACAGAACTTTGTGCTTGTTTATAGATGTTACAGTCTGAACACTTAATGTAATCTTAAGCTTAAAAAGTATTTTTAACTGGCATAGGGCAATAATACTTTTGACTGCTGTGCCAAATACCATCTACTGTTTTTGAATCATTTGGATTAGGTTCAGTTGGAATTGTCACTGTGACCATTAACGATCCCCTCTACTTTTGGTGAATTATATGTATAAGATGAGGTTATAACAGTATGATGTTGCAATCAAAAATACTTTTTGACAGTTTAAAATACTGTTGACCGGTTAAGAATTCTGACTGTAACATAGATAACTGATGACATTGTACTTAACATAAAACTGTTAAATATTAGAGACCAAGAACTTCCAGGTAAAAGCTATTTCGAGTTACAGGTATGTGATTCTGATCGATTGATTTTATTTTTATTGCCTTCCCTTTCTTCCATACAGTTCTCTTTCAATATGTGATTTTTCAAGAACTTTTTTACTGGTTAACGGTAATATGTTTACCACCATAGGACTAAATTCTAGTGAATATAATGTGAATGTTTAACACTCATTTGACTTACTCGCGTATTCTGTCTCCGCCAAATTCCTGCTCAATTAGTTGATCGATGTACAACAGGGAACAAGGCTTGTTAGCGTCTTCCTCTTTGGTAGGCGCGTTGTCTTGAAGACGATTGAGTTTCAGACGTCTGGGAATAATAATAATATTTATTGTTATAAATAACCTTGAACTATTTTCTTAGAGCTATAAATATACAAGGTTTAAGATAAAGGTCACACCAATAGAGTAACCCTAACGCCCAAACTAGGTAACTAGTAACTTCCTGTGATTTGGGAAAGAATTAGACACAATTTTTATATATATTTATTTATACAAATAATATTAATTCTGTGTTTGTAGTTTATATGGTCAATGGAGGGAACATGGTCTCCGATTTTCTATTTAGATACTATGATTTTATATATCGCTGCTTATATGCGCGTTTGTCCCCTCTATCGTAAAAAAAATTAACTCTATAGTAGCTTACCTCTTGTTATAAATATTGTTCAACTGTTGTGCAGGATACGGCAGTGCATTGTTTGAATCGTGCCGTTCGGGCAGTAAACCCACCCTTAGGAACCACTGCACCACTTGCAAGTACAGAGATACAGTACCAATTCCTTTGAATTTCTCCTCAATCTCACTAAGAGCTGTGGATTAATAATTAAATAAAAATGGAATCAATTAAACACACACACAACAACATTTCTTTTAAAAACACAACTCCCGAACTAGGAATATATTCTGTGTCGAGGGGCACTTTACTTTGTGGATCACATAAAATATTGTCCTATTTGGGGACCCACAAGACGCAGTGCAGTAAGAAGCAGCAAGGTGACCGCTTCAACCATTACGCCTGCAATAATTATGAGCTGAAATAATTATGACTGTAAATCTATTAATTATATTTTAATCTGCATAGTTCCTATTAAATTACTTTTTTTGGATATGTACAGAATTTTTTGAGAGCAACCTACAAGAATGAATGCACTAAGATGTCTCATAAAAAGATGAAGAACACATGTCGAATTATAACTTTGTGCCTTTGTACTTTGTTTATGATGATTGCATATTATTGCTTTTCCTCTCTCCATTACGATTCTTCTTACAAACAGTATGATACAATATTTTATATTCGTTTGTTTGTTTCGATTTTACGCCATAACTTGGGTTGGCCTGGTAACTTGGGTTCAAAAAATCGATGTTTTTTGCTTAATTTGAAAGTACAATGTCTTCAGAATATACTATGAAAATTTCAGACCGAAATTCGAAATATTTCCGGCGTTATAATGAGTTTTCGAGAGCGCCTTGAAGTTGCACACTGAAGGTCATATTTTTTTAGACCAAAAAACGTTAGAAATTGCTGCATTCACTGCAGCATGTATACAAAAAAATATTGGATGTCATGGATGTACTCTCGGCCCATAACGTAAGTATAAGTTCACTTATGAAAATCTGTGGCCGAATTATAAACACGTTTTTCTGGTCGGCCCGGGGCCTAACTTTATTTCTACCGAACCGATTGCTTTCAACCAATACCAATGCCTGCAAAATTTTGGCCGGCCCGGGAATCGAACCCACTAAGGCAGCGTTTCTTTAATTCCACGCGAACTAAGTAGCAGGTCAAAATATTATATAAAAAATAATGTGTAATGTATTCTATCTCATTCTCTCGCTAACTTAATCCTATACATTCATGTGTTTGATTCTTTATCATGAAGCATTTTCGTTTTATCGAGTCTCAAATCATAACGATTCTAAAGAAGTTACACTTCAAAAAAAGCCGATTGTTATGTGTACATATTTGTAACTCATCTTTATTTATGTGTTAAGTGTATACAATATGGATATAAATAAATAAAATTAAAAAAAATAGTTGCTTACCATCAGGTACAATTAAGTTACAGCATTTGGTTAATACAGCATCTAACAGGCCAGTCAACTGTGTCAACTGCTGCACACAATGCTCTAAGCATCTCACTACATTCCTGCAATAAAAAAATAGACCATATCACAAACAATTTGTCATAATATGAAGAGTTACCGGTACATCTATATTTACTGCATAACAGTTAAAGCAATAGTAATTACTAAGCAATTTATAAATACCAAGAAAAATGAGCAATTCTTATGGTAGTAAATATGGGGTTCGATTCCCACGACAAATATTTTGTGATGTGATGTTTGTTCTGTGTTTGGGTGTAATTTATCTATAATAGGTATATATTATAGATAAATGATTTATAATATGTATGTATTATATACGTGTGGTGACGGATTAAGAATACGGAATGTCACCACCCCTATTCACCCCGTGGGTGTAAGAGCCGACTAAGGGAACAAACTGCACAGGACAACAGCACTGCAAAAAGAAGGAAAACTTGAAACAAACCCTATACCAACCCGTCTGGCCAGCGTGGTATAGTAGGCCAAAACCTCCTTTCTAAGGAGAGGCCTATGTCCAGCAGTGGACTATTATAGGCTGTGGATGATGATGGATGATGTATTATTGGCCTATGTACAGCAGTGGACTGCAATAGGCTGATGCTGTGTGAGATGAAAGAAATTATTATCTAGCGGCCAAGTCTGACATCGTACGCTCATTGGTCAAATCAAATAGCGCGCACGTCTACGGTTACAAATAACACAACACACACACACACACTTTCACATTTTAGAAAACACATATATATAGCGGGAAAGCGAGATGTAAGATGTTCATAAACAACTATAGTGACGAAGCTAGTGACCGCTAGTATTACCCGTTATTCCTTACCCCTGTAAAATATTTGTTAGTAATTTCTTAGACTAATTTTTGACGAGAACTACTAAGTGGACAACATATTACGACGTTTAAAGAAACATATTTTATATTTACCTGTCCGGCAGGGTTGATGAAGCAAACAGTGGGGCAGTTAATTCTGTTGCGTTTTCTTTCAACTCGACGGCTCGTTTCCAGCACCAGTCCACCTAGCAAATATCATGTTCTGTTTACAAAATATTTAAGTCACAACTCACATGTTATTACTGTAACACACTGTACACTACACTACAATGCACTGTAATGTAAACGTATACATTTTGGTTGACGTTTGATTATATATTTAGTAGACTTGCAACGAATATTCGGTTACTATTCGGTATTCGGCCTATTCGGCTGCTTTTATTATATTCGGCCGAATACCGAATATCTACATATTATTCGGCCGAATACCGAATACTTAAATAATATATTTTGTCATTGAGAAATAATTGGTAAAATTAAAATCGATTGATTACGTATATATTCATATTTTCATTTCTGTTATAATCATTTAAGTAGTCATTGGTGCATAACACAGGTACATAATCATCTTCTGAATTGGAAAAATGGAGGATTCTATGTATTTGAATTATTGTGGTAATCAAAATTTAGAAGGGTAAGGTTCTCATTTCTTTTATAATCATTTATTAAGTAGTCATTGGTACATAAAACAGGTACATAATTTAATTCACGTCTGTACAAGTTTTTGGCGCTAAAATCCAGCCGAATACTTTTGCTTAATATTCGGCTATTCGGTCAGGGGCCTCACCGAATATTCGGTATTCGGTATACTGCCGAATATACTATTCGTTGCAAGTAATATTCGTTATGGCCCATTTTTCTCAAGCTATTTTATTTATATACTTTTAAACTCTTTTTTAATGACTTTTTAGTATGATTATAACTCTTGTTAAAAAGTACATATTATAATACAAAATTAAAAACGAGAGCTTTATCACATAATCGGTTACCAAGAAAGTGAGCGTGCATCCAGCGCCGCTGTGACTGCCGGTGGCCCAGTCGTGTGCACACCGCTTCAGGAACCGGGACAGGCGAGCTTCCAGCGCCACCGACAGCAAGAAACGACGTTGCTCCTCCTGTAACAGAAACACAAAAATAAGTTTGGTTTAGGACTAACAAAGAGACATTCGATCCCTGAAATACATACATGAGTTACACCATATATTCCTTATATAAATATTACTCACAAAAGTTTTTATTCTACTGTGCAGAACACAAATAACAAACACGTAACCAGGAACATTATCTCATTAAATAAGTATGATCTTTTAATACTAACTGGGCTGACAGTCCTTTGGTAGGTATCCATATAGAGTGGCGTGAGTCCCGCCGCGACACACGCGTTGTACAGCCGCAGCGGACTCAGCAGAGCCGTGGGACCCACCTCATCGATAGAACTTATGATCTGACGTTGAATGCCGATAGTACTTAGCATGTACGACTCAGAAGTATTCAGGCATATGCAGTCTGCAAAAAAATGACAAGCAGGGATTGAATAAGGTAAAGAATGTTTATCTAAAGTTCGAGGAAGTAGTAACATAGAGTAGGATAATACCTCCCCTGAAATCCCAGAATCATAAATAGATATAACTATTTAATATTGGGATTTATTAAATTTCAAATCACTTATTGGGCTTTGAATACATTTGAACTAAATTATTATATTGAAGAATCATATAATGTTTTTGAAGTTCTGTACTAAAACTGTTAAATTGTTTAACTTTGTTTTACATACAAAATTAATTCTTGAAATAAAAAGGGTCTCAAAGGTTGGGTAGGCAAGGCTTACCTCAGTTAGTCCGTGAATGGATAACCATCATCGGATCTATGGTAGCATAGTTGTTAAGAAAAGGCTCACAACAGCTAATCTAACTAAAAATATCACATCTCCTCATACTGGGTTATGTAGGTCTGATGTCAGTCGCTTTAAGTAAAATACTGATAATTAAGATACATAAAGATTTCAAGTCATTTTTTTGAAAGACAACTCCCGGAATATATCCGGTGTCGTGGGCGACTATACAAACATACATGAAAGGCCACAAAGAATAACAAGATTTAGAACAACAATTTGTGGGTCACACAAAGTGGAGTTGTCCCATGTGTGGATCGGAACCTGCAACACTCAGCACAGCACAGGAAGCGGCGAGGTGACTGCTTAAACCGCTACGTCATCTGTGCAGTCTCATTACTTAATTATATCATGCTGGTATGTATTTAACTCTTTGAGGAAATAATATACTTACTGTACTGAAGTGAGTTTGGATAGAAATGTTCCTCTAATCTGGTAGCATGCGAGTAGACGGCGACGGAAGCGGGGTCGAGCCGCACGTCGAGCGTCACGCACGGGCCCGCCGACAGCTCGCTGCACCACGTCATGCTCATGAACGCGTTGCTTTCTAACCGCCACGTTGCTAATTAACAATAATATTACCTATTTATTAGCATAATTAGATGAGCTCCAAGAGGTAATGAAGCTTTGCAATGCCAAATTTGGAATATATTACATGTCTCAAAAATATTCATAGATTCAAATAAATTTACTCAAACGAATATGTATGAAATAGTTTTTAGGTATTAAATGGTTCCTAAAAGTGTTTCAGTAGTTTCAAAATTAATAAATTTTATAAACAAACAATTTTTTTCTACTTAGTAGACAAAACGTTCATGAAAATGACAGAAACTGCAGCATAATATTGTTTTGATAATGAATAAACACTGCAACTAAAAGAACTATACATTTTCTTATATTCTCTTAAATTCTTTTAACGCACTATCGACGACAGTGACGACAAAAAATAAATGCTTTGTTCTCTTGAATATTTTAAATCAAATACATACACATATATTTTATAAATATTCATAAACAATATTTCATAGAACAGTGATAGGAATAACTTCTTAATGTTACCTGGCATTTGATCTTTGTACCACTGGTCTAAGTCAAATAGTAACATTCCATATTGAGTGGGTGAATTAACGCCCTCGCCCCAACACTCCCATACTATTTGACAGATGTTCAACATACCTGGAAACAGACAATTGGTTGAAATACAGCAAATATTAAAACAGTAGGTGTGTAATTGTTTAAGATACTGTTTAAATTTTTGGCTGAGGCGTTGGACTTGCATCTAGTAGTTCCGGGTCATAACCACGTCCAATACACCACCAATATGAATCATAGATTCCCTCACACATTATTAATATGGTTTAGTAACAATATTAGTAACGTTACATTACTAGTGTTCTTAAATTAAATAAAATTCTTACTTAACTACTAAGAATGATAAAAAAGTAAGTATTTATGGTTAATGATTTATTTCAGTTTTAGTACTAATGTGAAAACTTTAGCAATAAACACGCCATTCTAACATTAAAGTGTTAATTTTTATAAAATGTTGTATTCAAGTGGAATCTAAAATGTCCTGTTAAAAGTAAATTTAGACATTTCACTTACTCTCTTCTCCTTCTGCAGCTAGTGTCGAATTGACAGAATAGGTGTGGCATGAGACACATTTTCCTCCAAAAAGTGCTACATTATCAACTGTTCCTAACTCCAGTTGAAATCTTAATGTTGCTGATGAGAAATCCTGGAGATTAATTAAAATAATAAGTATTTTAAAAGCATGTAGTTTAGGCATTGTTTCATTTTTTCTTTGTTATCTAGTTTGTTATCTAGTAACAATTTTAGCAAATTCTAACAATTTTATTTGCAAATGAAACTCCTTCCAGCCATCAACTCCATTGGGGTTTGGTTTGAATCTTTACTCCTTATAATAATTCCGTATACATTTTAGAATCAATATATTGGAACTTTTGTCCAGGCCCCTTTAATTAAAAAAATAAACCTATATTTTAGGTCAGGCAACACATGTATTTAATACATTTCAAAGTAATAACTTACCTGATAAAGACACTTTGTGTCAGAAAGCATTCTCTTCCCTTGATATGTCAGTGAATACATGACAGCCAGTGGGAATTCTTCCTCTTCAAACCTGTCTATGATAGAAAAAATCACCCATAGATAACAAAATGCTCTTGGGTCATCACATGGTTCCTATAAAAAATATATAAATAAATAAGTGTATTAATTACACCTTCACACCTAAACTACTTAACATAACATTTTGAAGATTTGCATACTTTAGACTTTGATTAGTTAGAGAAGAAGCCACTGGCATAACCTATTATAAGTACCTAAATATCCTGCCAGGAGTATAAAAATGTTTCTCAGTTAAACTATTGATGTTTGCCATACTGAGACATATAATAATAGTTGCATACAGTGAGCCACAGTATAGTTATTTAATATATGTAATAACTGATAATGGACAATGGGTGCCCATTCCACCAATATAAATTTCCACTATCACAATTTAGCTATTTCATTATGGAAGTGGCATTGTTACTAACAGTACTCTAACTTTCAGTTTTAAGATTTTAATTTTAAGTTTAGTAACATTATTTGTTTATAAAGGTTCATTAATATCACTACTGAGTTGCGAGTCTGTGTGGTGACGGATTTAGAATACGGAATGTCGCCACCCCTATTCATCCTGTGGGTGTCGTAGGAGCGGACTAAGGGAACAAACTATGCAGGACAACAGCACTGCAATGAGAAGATCTATAGATTTGAAGTAAAAATAATAACAGTTCGTGTGATGACAGATTAAGAATATGGAGTGTCACCACCTCTACTCATCCCGTCAATGTCGTAAGAGCCGAATAAGGGAGCAAACTACACAGGACAATACTCGTAGCACTGCAAAGACAAGGAAAACTTGAAACTAACCCTATATCAACCCGTCTGGCCAGAGTGGTATAGTATGCCAAAACCTTCTTTCTAAGGAGAGGCCTATGTCCAGCAGAGGACTATTAAAGGCTGTTGATGACTTCCGAGTTGGAGGCATTCATGGGCGGCGGTAGTCGCTTTCCATCAAGTGACGTCTGCTTGTTTGCCCCTATTCCATAAAATAAAAAATAATATACAGTATTTATAATTGTATGACTTGAAACTGTCCCACTGAAAACCATAGGTTTTTTCGTATAGGGGGATTTGCATGCAGAACACAATATAAGAAGTTTATAAAACATAAACTTTTTTTTACCTGGAATCCAAAATGTGTAACTGGCAAGCATTCAACATTGACTTGTGATGTGAATTCCAATTCCATGGTCATGATATTCCAAATTTGGAATGCACCAAAGTTATAACCAACTGCTAAACTGCCTAATTGTGGAATGTATTGCAGAACAGTAACTCGTATATGATCTCTTTTAGCTTTCATGCGCACAGTACCATCAGGATTACGGAATATGTACTGTCCATCAACTATTGAATTTTCATTTAATAGGAAAGCTATATGATTATCATTTTCCAAAGCCAGCTCTCTTTGACCTTCTATTCTGTGTAGTGCTTTATATTGCAGGAAGCTTAAGTTGGCAGGGTTTGACTCATTCTGGATTAGGTGCTCATAGCCCTGTGATATGTCTTTTAAGGCTGGAAAAAATACATAGTTACTGTTTTTTCATATTTATGACATAAAAGAAGTTTAAAGAGATGTCAAGAATCAAACCTCGATCCTTGGCATAGAGGTGGGCCAGTACTTTTAACCAGCTGAACCCCTAGCCAGTGATCAGGTGACGGGGAGGTAAGGAGAGAAGGGGGGGGCACACCCACATGCCACTAGATGCATACGGGTGGGCACCAACACCAACACCTTAACACGGGACTTACAATTTGTGTATTGACCAGTTAAACCAAATAAATACTCATGTTGTCCTTGAAATATATAATTCGCTCATTTGCTACAAGGTCGACTTATCTCAAAATTGATGATTTTTTAGTTAATAACACAGTTGTGTAGAAAAAATAGCGCTCCGTTAACTGTAAAAACCCTATTTCTCTAAAGTCTTTAGTTACGAAGACAGAGCAAATATTCACAGTTGTGCTGTTATAGCACTGTCTCTTTCGTTCAGGTTACTTGCGGCAACAATGACATTATTTAGTTGCGATGTGACAGTGCGTGCGGTAGGCGGTACTTGTGCTCTTGAAGAACGACATTTCTTAAGTAATAACGCGTTTGCCGGTAAGTTAACTACAATTTATTTTAATATATTTTCAGGAATAATGTGTTTAGTATAAATGTCTCGTTAATGCAGATAATATTTGAATAAATTAGTACAGGCTTATTTCGTGTTAAGACGATGTTGCTGAAAAAATTAATACCCATTAGAGTATTATTACTAATTATGACGTTGTTGTTAATAAAGAAAACGATGATTGAATATTACAATAAAAAATATCTATACTTATGTCATTACACTTAAAAATAATTTGCGTTATTTATTGTAAAATATTACAACATTTTGTAATAAAACGTTCTAGTCAATCATTCGAGTCAAGTTTTCTTATTTATGTCGGTCTCATAATTTATTATAACGTTTTGCATTTTAGGTGATAATGGAGTTGCCACGTGTTTCCATAGGCAAAACAATTGTAGCAATAATAACTCATCCAATGAAGAAGTTACGTCCAATGAAACCACACACTAACTTTTGTTTTCTGTTGTAATTATTGTTGTTCTCGCGTATCTACATAGAATTAAACTATAAATACAACTTTTCAGGTAATGAAAGAGCCAACCAAACAACACAAGAAATGAGATCTTTATCAAATGGGAGTAGTTCTTCTACCAGCTCGTCATCTGATTCAGATTCGTCAGATAATACGTTTATTGAAAGTTAGTAATTTAATTATTGTAGTGAATCGAATTTGCTTACAAAAATATTAAATTAAATATTAAGTTTATATTTATTTTGTAGATAGTGATGACTTGTCAAAGATCCAATATATACCTAACTGCCAGCTAACTGCCATCAACAGCCTATACTAGTCCACTGCTGGACATAGGCCTCTCCTTAGAAAGGAGGTTTCATTGACAATTCCATTGCTAATAATAATTTTCATATGATTCCATTGTCATGTCAAACTTCAACAGAAAATAGGATTCCTGCAAGTCCGAAGGCAAAACTAGGAAGAAAATACTGGACAAGCTTATGAGACTGCTAGCAAGAAAATAAAAGAAGAGAACAATGTGGAGATAAATGACGGTTAAAATGTCAAACTAAACTATCTAAAGATGAAAGGAAGACATTTTTTAACTACTATTGGTCATTAGGACATAATAAAAACAATATATGATGTCTTTGAGAACTCTTATTATTTTACAAGAACTTTTACAAAGAAGAAGAATTTAAAAAGCAGAAATTATCAGAAACAAGAAAAGGATTGACATAAACGTCAAAAAAGCTTATGATCGTAAGCCAGGCACATCGGACAGAAAGAAAGATTTGTTAGACTCGTTAAAGAGAAATCGAATTCCACAGTTCTATGCTCGATTTAAAATTCTTTGCAGAATTTTTTAAATTTTATTTTGAATTTTATGTTCAATTTTCGTTAAAGACTGTAATTTTATTATTGAGGCTGATTTTGTGATACTTTTCTGTATAGATGACTAAATAATGTAGTAGAGTTGATTTATAAGACTGATGTGCTATTTTAATTCGATAACGATTAAGTGTTAATTACCTACTATTCATTTTATTATGAAAAAGTTATTAATGTAACTATATTGTAGTTTACTTTTGTTTCCGATATTAATAAAAATATTTTCAAAATTGACATATTTTGTTATTATTACTATCAAGTTTACTTTAAATGTAAAATAATTATCGAGTGTAACGTCATAAGTCATAATACTACTTTTTTTTTTCTATACTTATCTGCAACAATGACATAAGTGTTTCCTTGCTGCGAAAAAAATAGCACAGTATATCATATGTACTTTTTAAGCAAAGTTTAATATTTTAACAGAAAAGTACACTAATCGCACAATATTTTTGTCTAAATAAGTTTTCTAAAAAGCCAACGCTTATCGTATATATTTAACTAGAAACTTTAAAATTGCTCTCCTGTAAAATGATATCTTTTGAGAAATGTCGACCTTGTTGCAAATGAGCGAATGATATACAAGCATATTTAATACAAACCAATTCCTCCATATTAAATATCATAACAGGTTTGTTATTTAGAAAATTCCATCAAACAATGTTAGAATGTGACACTTAGCTATTGCCAAATATTTACTTTTAATTGCGATTTAACAAAAAATAACAATGAGAAAAACTGCAAGAAACTACAGTTTTCCATAGTTTTATATCATAATTAGGTTCACCATAGACTGTTTAACGCATTATTTTAACCATAAATCAACCCCACTCAATTTAGGTACACTATTGGTATTCCGAACAAAATAAAATAAAAATAAAAAGTAGTTATTATGTTATACTAAGTATTTTGATTATTATTAAAATATATTTTTTTTATAGCAAAATAAACTTTTACCTTGGATAAGACAGGCTCTATTTAGGTCAAAAGCAAATATTTCTCCACTTTTTGTCCCTGCCATTACAACTCCGTCGAAACAAGTGAATGGGCCATCAGGGATCCTATCACATATTGCCAACTCAGTTACAACAACATCTGTTTGAATGCAACGCAACAATTGAGATCCATTGACGTGAAGCACACATATTGTTCCACATTCATCATTTTGTAAACTGATCATTAGTTGGATAGAGTTTGTGGTCAAAGGTTCAGGCAGCTCTACCACACTTGTTACTGATGTATTGCCATTGCTGAAAGAGAGAGAACATGTTTATAATAAAATTAATTAAAAAAATACACTGCTCATAGAATGAACACTCAGAAATTACTTGTAACCATAGGTATAAAATTATGTATGGGTTTAAAATGAATTTTGTCAATATAAACAATATATGATTATCACCTCATTCACTTAAAAGTTATGCGACATTGAAAAAAATTGTTGCGTCACTTATTACCTGAGAGGTGTACCAAAGGTTCGTGCAGCTACCTTCAATCCGGTTCTAAGATCGACCACACAGAATTTGGGACCAAGAGCCAACCAGCCATGTTTAGTATCCTTTAAAATACCGCCAAGAGGTGTTTTATCTGTAAAAGTTGCATATTAACACCTACACAACAACTTCATAATAAGCAAACCTAAAAATATTTATGTTGTCATCAAATAAACAAACCTGTAAAATCTTCAGTAGGTTGTAGGAAACTAAATACGGCAGGCGACAAACTTGTTGTTTTGACAATAGAGAATATACTATCTTGTAACTTCTGCATTATAAGATGAGTTAGATCTTTACTTTTAACCGAAAAATAGTTTCATTAGAGGTTAGGATACATTCACATACATATTTATTTTGGCAAATATGAAAAAAGTTTTGCGTTATTCTTTTTATAAAAGGTTTTAGATGTTAGGCCACTAGAATTGTTTGAAATAACTTAGGCATTTTCATTTTATTCTTGAATATAATCAGCGCGCGGCAATACCGAAACAAAATCCGCTTTAAATTTGACAGTTGCCAATTACATTAAATCAGTGTTGCCAATTTTTGATTCCAATTAACAAGATCAATTCATCGTGTGAGATTAATTTTTAAAAGTTACAATACAAAAGCGTTCATAGCTTTAGTCTAGATGTTTTTTTTCTGTAACTTGTATTCATAGTCTATTCAAGAAACATTATATAACTCCAGGGAGATCGAGATTAAGCGCAAGAATTGCCGGGAAGACACGCGGCAATTCTGATCAACCCAGGTCGGATCTTCTAGCACCGTGTGAGGCGCTGTGTCCACGGTCCAGCCATCGCAGTGGTGACACTCAGGCGTTGGCACCCGAAGTAAAAGTTTAACTATCCGGTCTTAAAAAATTGATGTTGCTTTTGACACTTTAACATCATATTTAAAAACCACATTGTCATCTACAATATTCACTTAACTTTATCTACATATAATATGTATGTATTTAGAACTATATGTATGTTTATTAGCAGTCTAGTTACCATAGTACAGGTTCTGCTTAGTTTGGGATCAGACGACTGTGTGAAATGTGTGAAATATATTATTATTAACTCTATTAACTTAAAAAAGACTGCCCTGTTGTTAAAAAAACTGTTTAACTCCTTAATCTTATCGATGTCACAGAATTGTAACACATAATACTGAACATGAATATGCCTATACCTATTATTGTATTCATCTTCAACCTACTTTATTCTCTTTCCGTGTTCACGTAAATACCTTACCAAACAGTTTCCTTTGATCTTTGCTCCGTAGCAGATGCAACAATATTTTAATCATAATATATGATAACAATTTTTAATAACACTTAACTAAATGTAGCTTAAGGACGCTACGTCTCTGGTTCGTCGCGTCTGTTAAAGCGGCTGCAGGAAGTTTTATCGTACAAAACATTACAGTCGACCACTATTTAGCCAAAATAAAACCAAACTACTTTGCTTACCATGTTCCTATTGATGCGTAGGATTTTCAGATATCTATAAATAAAAGGGTATTGAAATAAATAAACCATTTAAAAATAATAAATATATTGTAATATACAATTTGGAAAGATCACAATAAGTACTTACACTAAAAGTACACTTGCATTTTGTAGCTTATTTTATATATTATATAGGTTTCTACACAAAAAAAAACAAAATATATAAAAGATCTCGAAGAATTTGTGAATCGTAGAAAATCGAGAAACGATTCTTACCTGTCTAAATGTCTTTAATCTATCCATGTAACATGCTTTTGTTGTTTAACGGTAGGCGCTTAAAATAGAATAAGCCTACAATGACGTATTTTTTAGTTTTTATTTTATTTCCAAATTTGTTCATAAACACTTTTATATTAATCCAATTGATCACAGCCTAAAAAGGCACTTTATTGAAGTATTTTAATATGAGTGAGTTTATTTACAATAAACGATAATTGTTTTTTAATAAGTTGTGGAGTCACTGTCGCTTCCAGTATAAGAATCAGGTTCTTCGAAGGCATCGGAACTCCAAAAATGAAGCTCATCCTTAAGACCTCGCAGTGTCTGGTTACACAGGATTTAATTATGTAGAGGAGGATCCAAAAAATAAAATAAAATATATTTAATAGTCTGTGCAATGTAATAAAAATAAACGTGATAAAATCACTCTGAGAGGGGACAAATGAATAGAAATAATGCTTATACTTGTAACTTGAAGGCCTCAGGGCCAGTTATTTACAATTTTGAAAACTGTCCTGTTCTGAGAATACTGCATTCCATACCCTAGTGGAGCATTCAAGGTGGGTTATAGGTCCAGTAATGCGACAAGTGACGGGACACGGCTCCTACTAAGAACCACGCGACTCTGTATATATAAGCGGGAGAGGTTATACGAAAAGATAGTAAGTGTGTCAGGGGTTCAGAGAGTACCATCCCAAGTTATATCTATAGTCATAGACACGTCTGACGGAATATTAACGTGACGTGTGTTTCAGCCGGTGATTCTATGATTACTCCTTCACCGAGTACTTGATAAAAAGTGAAAATCTTGAGCTTCTTTGTTTACCTCCATTTCATCATCAGATAATCATAATATTAATTCGCTTACGAACTAAATACTACTTTAAAACAGGATGAATTAAGTTCTTCTCCTTATTTGGAGTCATTTGAAAATGTAACAGGCAATGCAATATTCCAATTCTATGTTGTACACATGTCTATACAGGCATGGTCTATTTATGGTATATGTATAAAAAAGTGTGGGACTATAATTGACAATGTTGCGTGCATGTAATGAACTCAGATACAAAACACAGGTAAGCAAAAGTTCTGGTATGATGTTCACCAAGTAGACATTTTAGAACACCATTATAATTTTAAAATTTATTTACTTAAAATAATTTTTCATTTTAATTCCATAACTTACATATAGCTTGTTTTGTTTCCTCACTTACTCTAATAGATTAAATAGACATATTGGAACTCTAAAAACTATATTCCATACTAGTTCTAGTTCTAGTTTTTAGAAATGAATTATATCAATTTTACTCAGTCAAACAACCGAATGCTATCGATATCTGTAAAAATCGAATGTGCCAGTCACGATTCATAATACCAGCTTAAGTAGTACACTATTGTAACTCAACTTACCTAAAAATTCTCATTTTTAGTCATTAAGACTAAGCTGCAATGCTCAACCTTGTTGCTTATATAATATTTATTAAACTCTAAGTTTATATAAAAGTGCAAGAGTTATCATAAAAATTTAGAAATAACAAGCATTAAATCGATCTTTTGTAAAGTACCTACATAAGCATTTTTAGTTGTAAAGTTGTAAGAATTTATACAGGTGGTACAATAGAGATAATTAAAAAGTAAATAAATTATAAGCTCTTATGGTGAAACAGGTCTTTAGGTCTCTGATTATTTAATGCAAAATTTGTACACGATGGATAGTACTGACTTCTTTTTCAAATTATAGTGTTGACCTTGAAAAATTTAACTTTATCGAAAATCCTCTCGAAGATATCGACATTCTTGAATTACTTCAACAATGTTGATGGTATCGATACAGAAAAATAATCAACAGTATTAAATTCCTCTAACACTAGTAATAGTGTCCAAATAAAATACTTTCGATAGCACGACTAATTTTCTAGGATGATAGTATCACTATATTGTAAATAGCTGATCATCACTATGGCAACAACATTATTTTAAACAATCCCCTTTTTTTTCTGTGCGGAACTCCCCCTCGGATAGCACCCACTAATGGGTGATTTTGTCGGACTCGAACCGACCAAAAACCGCACGCCGTCTCCAGGTACCAGTAGCCGGGGAACCAGGTATACCCTGGAAAGGAAAGCCCTGGTACCTCGACGTACCTCGGGCCATCTACGGCTTATAGATGACCCCACCTGTGTAGGAAACCGGATGTACCCTTCGTGCCCCCGGCGCGGTGCGTCTTGCCGCGCGCCCTTACGAGGGTGCCGTCCGCGTAGCACATAACGGCGACACCATCCAAGAAGGCACCACGAAGCACCCACCCAATAAGGCCGTAGCGATGACACATGCAAATGTCAAATGCTTTTTATAACTATATAAACAGGTTCTGAATATATAGCCTGTAATCATACCTGTAATGGGTTAAACAGCTTTATAAATTACACATTTGCGATACACAAACATATAACCTATTTATGCATGGATTTTTTAAATATATTTTTTATTTACTTATTTTATACTTCCTGCAAATACATTGCATAAGGTGAACTTAATGCCATAGACATTTTTTTCCAGTCAACCTTTGGGTGATGCAATAATGTTGAGCAATTACATTTTATTATTACGATTAACAGCCGATACTGAAACATTAATGGTATTTTTGTTAGTTTCAGACACATGAGGATTTATTTTCATTTGTCCTTGCACTATGTTCAGCATCGAGGTATAAGGGCTTTCTGGCATCTGGTTTTTATGACCATTAGTATCTGCCATAGAACCTTTATCGCTGCGAACACCGACTTTGTCATACGGTGTACTTTTCATAGAAACATATCCTTTACTCGTGGGTGGAACTGTTTTGGTACCCGGACTGAATCCATTCTGTGTTGCTACATGATTTTTCGGTCGGCTTGAATTTTGAATTTCAGGTTTTGGCGGACTCTGTCTACTAGCAACTGATGAACTATCATTGGAATTATTTCGTGTGACCTGAAGACTATTTGATCTGGATGAATTTGCTAATGAATGTAGTGTAGATGAGCTTCCTTTCAAACTATCCAGTTCTTTTGAATACACTTCTTCACTTCTTTGAAATCTTTGTGCATGCGTCGTCATTGGCGATCTACTTTGATTTATAGATGTTGCACTCAATGATCTACTGGGTGAATTATTTTGAATGCTGTCTACTGAAGTGATCGATTTGTGATCAGACTTATGATTCGACCTTACCGGTGTATTCACTTTGACTTCCATCGAACCATATGCGCTGTCTTTAGTAGAGCTGTGAGATCCACCTTCCTCTTTCACCCCGTATCTTCTGACAACATTTGCTACAGGCTCTATATTTTGTACATCATAAGAAAGCGGTTTTTTCTCAGACTGAGTAGTCTTGACTCCGTCTATTACTTCACCTGTTCTAGGATTTATATGTTTTTCAGTGTCGTATCGCAGTGTTACCCTATGACTTTCATCAATTGGATGGTCTCTTGGTCTATGTTCTAATTCTTCATCACTGTCTTCGAAAGTATCAATGTTTTCTTCCTGTAAATTTATGTAATTAGAAACAGTTGTAAAATTTGTGTTTGGAATGTATGTTAAAAAACAATTAATAAAGCTATTAATACCTCTTCATCAACTTCTTCAATTACACTATTTTGTATCCAGTCTCGTATTCTTTGTTTTTTTGCTTGGCGATCAACGGTGGTTTCTATTCCGTTATCCCTAAAATGTTTTAAGAGTACATTCTTTTCGTTGGGGTCACTGTGGAAACTATACATTGATGGACAAAGCTCATCTATGTCTTCGCCAGCTGAAATTACAAAGAAAAAGAATTTATATGTAGAAGGGTTTTAAAAAATAAGGAGTGATAACATTATTTAAAAGCTGGTAGTTACATTTATTTTAGATAAAATAAATTAGAGAAGAAATATCACCTTACTTTGGTCCTTTCCGGCCAAGTTTAAGTTAAATCTGACTTCTAAAACAAGGAATGATTGTGGAGATAACTTACGCACTCTGTCCGTATATCCTTTAGCTAACCATCTATCGTCTGCAAAACGAGATAGATCGATGAAATTAATTGCCCTTTTCTCTGCTCTGGGCTCTATGAACTTTTTAAACAGTTTTTGAGCTTTAGACGAAACCATTTTCCACAATTTCGGTTGCCTCTTTAAAGGATTAGAACTATTGTACCAATTATAGTAGCTGCAAAAATATTATATTAATTATTAGTTGAGACAATCAAGAAGACACAGAATAAGAAAGTGAGATGTCATTGCTAAGGTAGTAGCATGTGTTTAAAGAAATCGTTTACCCGTGTGAACTTTTTCTAAGACTATTCTATTAGAAAATGCAAGGTTTAGTCTAGAGTATTTTCTTTACAGAAGCGGGACTGAAGAGATGCAAGTACTGATAGATGAGTTAAGATGCAACATAATTAATGAGGGAATTGTGCAACCAAAGCATTTACAAACCTAATATTTAAGAAATAAAATAAAACAAAACAAAGTATTAGCTAGTTGAAAATTAGAAAAATGTTCTGTTTAAAAGTTTTTGAGGTTAATACATCCACGCAAAAAGATACGTTTCAAATTGTTTTAACTGGAGTTTGTTAATAAATACCAATGGTTCTTCATAGGTTTACATACCTCGAGTATCGAGGATCATCGAATGCTGCTTTCTGCCAAGGCAAACATCCAGTCAGGCAAATAAAAATAACTATCCCGAATTGCCAAATATCATGGCTCATTAACGCTCTGAAAGTGAAAATATAAACATACATCAATTTTAAATGACGCTAAAAACATTTACAGTCTGTAATAAATTTAGGAGGATTAATTAAATTAGTTTCATAGATGATTAGACAATAAGGATGTTGTTCAGCTAGCGAGTAGCTAACGAAAGTAGGGAAATTAAGTTCATCGTCTAAATTAGACATCTGAATGAACATGACTGAGTGAAATGTGAGTTTACACAAATCCATATACAAAATTCGTCATTTACAGTGATTGGGAAACGACTCGTAAACCTCTTTTGCCGTCGCGCAGCCGTGCCAAAAAGATAATTTATTCGTACTTGTAACTACTGTCCATTGGTAATTTTAGAATTTCAGGTGGTGAATATGGTAACCATTCGTTTCGCCTTCTCACTGCGGATTGAACCTTCCTGGTTTCTCCGAAGTCGCAAAGCTTTATTCTTGAAAAGTCTGATTTAAATATTAGAACGTTGTCTAGTTTTACATCTCTGTGAACTAAGTCTCTTTGGTGAAGATGTTCCAATGCAGCTGATAACTGCTTTGCTACTCTCTTTGTGTGAATCTCACCAATTCCTGTATCAAGCATATTTGATGTTAAATCACCTAAAACAAAATAGAGATATATATTATTTTATAATAGTTCTAAACTACCTATATATAACTCTAAACCTGTATTTGAGGTTTCATAGTATTACAAACATGGATTTCAATATCTTAGGAAAGTGAGATAAGAATGAGAATAGTAATGATGAGATATAATTAATGAGAATTTGCCATAGAAATTTGTTAGTTTTTTGAAATCCCTTTAAATTTGGCAGCAATCCAGCTTCGAGTATGTGAACCGAAGTAACCGAGTTCTGATTAAGTGTTCTGAGCTAAATTATGATTTTCTCAAATGTAATATATCATTACAGATTTGTTTCATGGTCATAATGATTGTTATAAATTAATTTATCATACCTAAAGGTGCATACTCTTGACAAAATACGTAGAAGCCAGCAGTCTCAAATGCTACATCGAATGTTGTAACAATATTTTTGTGGGCGCTTAAGTGTAAGCTGTAATGAAATTCTCTATAAAAGTCTCTAATAGACACGTATGGTTTAGGTAAGGCTTTCAACACAATCTCTGTATCTGACGCCCTGTGTTCCACTAACAAAATCTTTCCAAACCATCCTTCTCCAACAATTTGTAGAATGTCAAACTCTTCAACGAGGCATACCTACAAATAAAAAAATATGTTTAAAAAAAGGCCATAGTGCGTTTTAGTAGCCAATAAGTTTTCAACAATTAACAATTCTTACTTTTTCCAATTCGAACTCTCTTATTTTGTGTATAGAGCCTGTCAAGGCTCTTCTTGTGCCATTGTTCATCTTAGTAGCTTCAAACCGCACATTCTCTTATACTCAATCTAAAACGAAATACAAATTTCATAAATTTTAATTCATACAAAATACTTTATGATACAGTCGAAAGTTTTAAACTGTAAATATATTTGGTCATGGTAGGTCGGGTAGGTAGTTCGAGCCGTCCCAATTTCTTATGAATTCGTTGAGTGAATGCTCTTGGATAATTGCCAGAGCCTGATGTCTACTCCAGATCCAGACGGACGCCCTGACGTCATATAGTGACGTCACGTAATGTCTCATCGTAGATAGTTCATGATGTAACGCTAACATTTATCACAAATGTGCAAGATGTGCTATAGTCATGCAATTGTAGATTATATGTGTAAACGGTTAAGAACAGAATTTAAACTGAGTTTTTTTTTCTTATTTTAACCTCATACACTTTCTACTCTTTGCGAGGCGCGAAATGAAAAATATCTATTGTTCATTTTTTCTAATAGATTGTTTTTGTTACATTATTTGATTATACTAGCCTTAGGGATAAAATGTAAATAGGTAAAAAACATTCAAGTTTCCGGACCTAATTTCGTAAGTATCACACACAAACAATAAAAAGTTGTTTAGATCTAGATTAAATTATATCAGCATAATTTAACTCCGACTTAAATGAGTAAGAGTTCTGATTCAAGTATTCTTGTACGTCTGTGTATTCTTTTATTATTCGCAATACATTTGTTTTTTTAATTGAATTGATTATATTTAAGTTGGTCCCATTTAAATTTAAACATTTTTTTTTATTTCAAATAGTCTTTTGCCAGGTACTAAGGCGTGTCCTGAAGCATGTGTGTTAAACTCACATGCTACTTTTTAGGTCTTAATAAGATAATAATCATCATTAATGACTAAAAAGCGAAAAATCCATACTAATATTATATTATAATTTGATTTAATTTTTATAATTTAATAAAATATTAAATTATAATATTATATTAATTCCTCTCTCCCAAACAAACTGTGCTGCGCCCGTCAGAGTCCATAATTGTTACTATATTTAAATTGATATCACCTATGTATTTACATTGTTGAAGCAATAAAGTATTGAGTATTGAGTATTGAATATTATCAATGCGAAAGTGTGTCTGTCTGTCTGTTACTGTTACTCTGCTGAACCGATTTAGATGAAATTTGGTATAGAGATAGTTTGAGTCCCGGGAAATTACTTAGGATAGTTTTCATCCCAGAAATGAGTGAAAGTGAAAAGGGGGGTGGAAGTCTCTATGTGTAATCAATAACCGCTGAACCGATTTTGATGAAACTTGGTATATAGAAAGTTTGAGATGTGGGAAAGGATATAGAATTTACTAACTTTTTAATTACTCCTGAAATCATCCCTTAAGAATCAATAAAAAAGGACTATAAGAGTTTATCATTTCACTTTTCGTTAGAAATAAAGAATGTTTATGCATTTTCGACCAATGAATGAACCCTTTAGGGGGTTAATACAGGGGTAGAAGTTTGTGGGGTGCTAGCTAGAAAACCTCCCCGTGGTGCACCCTGGAAACGCTGGCGATGGTACTGTTTCCTCCTTGTCCTCTTGGAGGAGAGGATTATCGCCAGCGGCCAATATTCTAGCAGAAGAGGCAGCCGTTCATCGGCTCTCGGGCAAGGCCTGGTCCAGCAGGGTGGGCGTGTCTGCCGGTTGCCCTGCTGGCTCTTCGCTCTTCGGAGCATTCAGGAGGAAACCTCGGTAAAAAACCTGATGGCGGGGCCCTGTAGGGGCCACAGTTTTCTCCGCTGATAGCGGTGGAGGAAGGAGGACGGGCTCGGCGTGTACTCACACTACCACCGAGCAGGCAGGGGGACGTAGTCTCCCTGTCAACCGTCGGCATATCGTAATCCCGAGAAGAGCGCTGTGGTTAAGTCTCGCGGCTCTGATCGGGGACGAGGGTCTTGGCTTAACCGCCCGGACCGCGAGGAAGATAACCTCTCTAAAAAATTCCCCGAATCCCGTGTTCTGGTGCGTGGCCAGGGGATGCATGGCTGATGGGAAGTTCAGTCGCGAGCGCACTCCAAGCCGAGGTACCTGCGGACCCCTCGGTTGGGTTAAAAACTTACGCTTGCCCGGGTAATGGGGGATCTCTGCCCGGGTGGACCTTTAGTTCTCCCCCACTCGTGGGATTATTATGGAAAATATTAATTTAACTAAAAAGAAAACGATCGGAAAGAAAAACACACAACAGACAAAGGCAAGCCTAACGGACAATGAGACGAAGAGGAGGAACAGTGGAGTGGATGGGTCGTCCACTGAGGGTGAGGTGGCGTCGGGAACGCCTATCTCGATGGGGCTCCCAGAGGTCAGTCTGACTCTGGTCTCTGGGAGCCGAAGAGCATCGGATCGTATTCGTTCCGGATCCGCCGTCTCCTCGGATGGCGCGGAGGCCATGGAGGCGGAACGAAGCGACAGCAGGAAACGCGGACGCTCCAGGGAGGAGGGGACCGACACGTCCGGCGAAATGATGCCACCAAAGGTGGCAAGCAGCCGCCGAGGGAGGGCGCGTAAACCGGCCTCGGCCTCGGTCTCGACCCCGTCAGGCTCCGCGTTCTCAAACGCGGAGTCCTACAGGAGCGTACGAGTGGACGGCGAGGCCGTAGCGGAGGAGGAGATCGCGGATCTCCTGCTCAAGGTTCGGGAGCCGGTGGGGGAAATGCCCCCCAGGCTCCCGTGTCCGTGCAGGAGAGAGCGAAAGCGGCGGTGGCCGTCATCGACAAGGTGGCCACCAAATCCGTGAACCTTAAGGGCTCGTTTGTGAGGGCCCTTAAGGACTCCTCCTCCGCTTTGTCGGAGGTCGTGGAGGGCCTAGTGGGCGACGTATCGCGCCTACAGGTGGCCAACGAGAAGCTGACGGAGCGGGTGAACGAGCTGAGCGCTCAGTTCGCCCGCTTCCAGGCGAACCTCCCCGAGCGGGAAGCCTGCCAGCCTGCCCCTACCACCAACTCAGGGGCATTTGACTCCCAACTGCGAGAAATCCTCATCGCAGTTGGGAATATGCTGGACGGACGCCTGGCTGGCCTGGAGGCGAGACTGCCCCCTGCGCCGATTATGCGCCCCCCGCTCGCGTCGGCACAGCGGCCTAAGGCCGCCGCTCCGACCGCGCTCCCCGTTGTGGGAGGCCGCGTTTCTTACGCGGCGGCGGCGTCTGCCCCTACTCCATCGGCTCCACAAAAGCCGACGAGGAGGGGGGCCAAGGCACCGGCCCAGGCGCCGGCCAAGGCACCGGCTAAGGCGCCGGCCAAGGCACATCCCCAGGCGCCGGCCAAGACGGGGCCTAAAACGGCGCCGAGGAGCGGAGTGGCATTCCCTCCGCTCCCCACTCCGACACCCCTGCCGGGCCCCTCCGCACCTGCCCCCTCCAACGAGGGTTGGCAGGAGGCGAGGGGCTCCAAGAAGTCCCGAAGGCGGGCCAGAAAGGCTGCCCAAAAAGCAGCCCAAGCCCAGCCTTCGCCACCGGTGGCAACGGCCTCTGCAAAGAGGCCGCGGAAGCTGCAGCCGCCCAAAACCGCGGCTGTAGTTGTGACCGTGTCCCCGGAGGCGGCTGACGGCGGGCTGTCCTATGCGGCCGTCTTCAAAAAGGCCCGGGACAGCCTCGCCAACGAGTTTGGGACGGTGGGGGTCAGGATGCGCCTCGCCCAGACGGGAGCTCGAGTTCTCGAGTTCCCTGGGGCTGAAGGCGCAAAGACGGCGGACTCCTTCGCTGAGAAGCTGCGGGGAATATTTGCAGCCACAGATGGTGTCAGGGTCGCCAGGCCTACCAAGTGCGCGGAACTGCGCATCTCGGGCCTGGACGACTCAGTGACGGCCGAAGATGTCCGCGCTGTAATCCGGGAGAAGACGGATTCACGGACAACGTCAGGGTCGTGACCATCCGCCCCGGTCCAGGAGGGCTTGGCGCCGTGTGGGTCAGCTGTCCCCAAAGTATTGGCCGACGCCGGCAGGCTGCTCATCGGTTTCGTGAGCGCCAGGATCACAGTCCTGGCGGCGAGACCGATGAGATGCTACAAATGCCTAGCATCGGGACACACGCGCGTCAAGTGCGACAGTTGTTTTGACTGCGGCGGACTGGAGTACCGACGGGCGCGGAAAACTCTGAAGCTGGCCATTAGCCGCGCCAAAGAAGAAAAAAGACAGGAGATGCTGGAGGGTCTTAATCGTGACCCCTGGGGTCGCCCTTACCGCGCGGTGCGACAAAAGCTCCGCGCGTCGGGCCCCCCCCCTTACGGAGACTCTCCAGCCCAGCTTCCTGCGAGAAGTGGTTGAGGGCCTTTTCCCGCAACGAGCGGAACACACTCCCCCGGCGATGGCCTCCTTGGCCGGAGACGACGGGGAGCACGGGGAGGAAAATGTTCCGCCCGTCCGGGATTCGGAGGTAGGGGCGGCTGTTCTACGGATCCGTTCCAAGAACACCGCCCCTGGGCCAGACGGGGTACCGGCCCGAGTGCTGGCCCTGGCCCTCAACCACTTGGCAGACCGCCTCGGGGAGATGTTCGACGCTAGCTTGGCGTCGGGACGCTTCCCTGAGTGCTGGAAGAGCGGGAAGCTGGTCCTATTGAGGAAGCCGGGACGGCCTGCCGATTCGGTCGCGGCCTATAGGCCCATCGTGCTGCTGGACGAGGCGGGCAAATTGTTTGAGAGGGTTCTTTCTGCCCGCATCGTCCGGCACCTCTGCGAGGTGGGCCCCGATCTGTCGGACGCCCAATTTGGTTTTCGGGCGGGGCGTTCGACAGTCGACGCTGTGTTGCGCCTGAGGGCCGTGACCGAAGAGGCCGTGAGCTGTGGCGGCGTGCTGTTGGCGGTGTCATTGGACATCGCCAACGCATTCAATAGTCTGCCATTCAGCTGCATCAGGGAAGCACTCCACTATCATGGGGTGCCAAAGTACCTGAGGCGGCTGGTGGCAGACTATTTAGAGGAGCGTACCGTCGTGTACGAGGACCGAGAAGGTAATGTGAGGAGTCGGCCCATGTCG